ATTTGTATCCCACTAGAAAACTAATCTTTTATAAGATAACATAATTTCGCCTAGATTGCTCTTTTTATTTAGGCCAATCATCTTTATGTCGATATTCTTCGATAAATGTAGGCTTAAGATCCTTATTTTCATTCAAGATATCAATTGAAACATTATATACAAAAATCTTATCGATAAATATTTCTTTTCGATTATATTTTCTCCATGTATTGACATAGTTTATCAAAATCTTTTGATCTTTCTCAAGCATTTGGACTTCTTTTAGAAGCATATTATCATAAATATCTTAGACCATTTTATGAATATTTACATCCTTTATATTTTCATCTTATCCTTTTCTTTTATAAAGTTTTATCTTTAGAACCGATCGGTCTTTCACGCTTCGGATGTGCTTTAGATTCATTAGTTATAACATTAATAGACTATCTTTCTAGGACATCAATTTTAATAGAAGCATTCTCAACGAGGACATGCATTTTCGTTACTCTTTAAGGATATGAGAATGCATCTAGTAGTTGGTTTGTAATACCTTGTGAACGAATTATCTTCCGAACTTTTAGTTCACATTGTTTTGTACCAAATTGATATAAAGATAGTGAACTTTATGTAATATTTTTTTTTTAACATTTCTAATCGCTTATTTTGTTTATTCTCTCCCCTAATATTGAAAAAACTATTTCATCAAAATGAAAGTTGATAAACCAAGCTGTAAAAATATAACTTATTCATGATTCAAGCTATTTAATTATCGAAAATGATTTAAATCCAACATATATTTTCAATCTCCATTAAGTGCTCATTTTATTTCGTTATGAAGGAGCACTAAGGATATATACTCGCAACATCGAAAAATTCTTAAATAAGAAATATCCGGCTCATGAACATAAACCAATTACGGGGGAGAATTTTTTTAAAAATTATGGGTCCGATGCGAATAAATATTGTTGCATGTAAAATTGCATATCCCCAAGCATAAACATGGAGTTTTATTTTTAAATAATGGTTTAGCTATCAATTAGAGCCTTTTGATAAATACTTTTGCTAAACCTTTCTAAGTATGAACATAAGTAACAAGATATTCAATTTTTATTCTAATACCTAATCAATAATAATTAAATGCTTGAGAAATAAGTTCACCAACATTATCAAGGTAACTTATTTTAATGGCATAATCTAAAAATTATGCTCGAAATCAAATTATTTGCTAGCAATCTCAAAAACGTTAGGTTTCGAGTAGATAATAAGTATATATGTGATCATTTTGTGGATGCATTTATTAAAATCGTAAAATATTTAAATGGTCTATATGGTGGATGAATTAATCCACATATATCACTTTGAATACATTCTAAAAATATTGGAGATTCAATCTCAATTTTACTTGGTGATGGCTTAATAATCAATTTAACTTGAGAACATACGAACATGAAAAATCATTAAATTGAAGAGTATTCTAGCTCTTTAATAGATGTTCATATGAATTTTTAATAATTTCTCACATCATGAAAGACCCAAGATAACACAACTGGTCATGTCACATAATAAAAATATTTGAATTAGTAAACTTCGGTTTCATCGTAGCATTTGTTTCAATCATTCCAATATTTATAATAAAGACTACAAGAGAAAGCGAATAAATTTTTTAATATATATTTTCTACCCGCTATAATGATTATAATATACAAGTATTCACATTTGTTATTTTAATATGATATCAATTTAGATGAATATCTTTGAAACTCAATAAGTTTCTAAGAGACTTTGAAGAGAATAGTACATAATTTATAATAAAATTTATTTTTTCGGATAATAACGTATTTGCTCTTCTAGAGCCTTTAAATTATGTCACTTCAAGCAATAATATATTAACTCTTCTAGAGCTTTTAAAAGTTATCTCCTAAAGTAATAATATATTTGCTTTTCTAAAGTCTTTAAAAGTTATCTCTTCATGTAATAATATATTTGCTCTTCTAGAGTCCTTAAAATTTGTCTCTTCGAGTCATAATATAATCGATCTTCTAGAGCTTTAAAAGTTTATCTCTTAAAGTAATAATATAATCGCTCTTCTAGAGCTTTCTATTACATTGATATTATCATATATAATATTAACATAAAATAAATAAATAAATAAATTCTTCATAGCCATAAATAAATAAATACATAGTAAAATAAATTTATCACTATCTCTATGTAATTATAAGAAAATATAAAACATTTTATTTATAAATAAAAAGCTAACAAATTATTAATTTCAATTCCCTCTATTTTAATATATAAAATTAGCCTCTATATTTTACTTTTTTTCTTTTCAACGAGATTTGAAAAGGCTTGATGAGGTGTTTTTGTGTACGGCAGTACACAACCAATGTCCATTCATACCATATCTATAACATTCATTTTCGAATGCCGACTTTATCTATTTTTATTCTTTTTTTCCTCATAATTATCTACTTTTGATGGTGAGATATAATATTATGATGATCATAATTATAATGATAATTATTTCGATTATGTCCATGGCTATGGCCACATCTTATTGCATGCCTAAAATTATTATAAATTATCACATTCACTTCGGGGAGTAGAGTCGAGATTTATTCCTTTTCATAAATAGCTTGTCATTTTATTTAGCCACTATGAAAAAGTATGAAATTGATTCAAAATATTTCTTAAACTATTTTTTTTATATGCTACTGCATGAGCATATCCGAGACATGAAAAGTAGATGATATTAACTTAGCATCAAACACTCATGATCAATAATTCTTATCCAAAATGTCAAGGGCCACGAAATCAAGTTTTGTGGTGGTTGATATGATATTATTAAAGTTATATATTGCAAAATATAATAATAATGTTAGGAAATAAATATAAAATATAATAATAAAATTTGAACTTTTCAAACAATATATAGTATATTATTATATTCTATATATTAAATCATTAAAATTTTTCAAATGTATATTTTATGTATCATTATATTTAAAGTACATGATAAATTAGATACATACCTCGTAATGATCTAAATAATAATCTAGATCCAATTGGTAGAGCACTTGTGCGAAGAAATTCAATAGTTGAAACAATTGATTAAGTCTTTTGGTAGATACATACCTCATGGTCTATTGTCTCAATTGGTTAGAGTTTCGTGCCGATAACGTGTTATAAAAGAAATAGAAATAATAGGAGAATTAAAAAAAATGATAACAAAAAAATGAAATCACTATAATGTGGATGCAATCGATAAGAACTTCGAGTTTCTCTTATTCTCTCTAGAAAACTTGTACGCCAACTAATGAACAATCAAGCCTATTTATAGGCTTCAAATTTGAAAATAGAATTGAAAGGGACTCGGATAATCAATTACATCACCCTTTTAATTTCTTATATCGAATGATGAATTGAATCGTATTAAGAATTATAAGTAGAGGAATATGAAAAGTAGATAAACATAATGATGGACATTCATTATTTCATAACACTAAGCTAATTCTCGCGTATTAGTGAAACTCCAATTCTCATTATTTTTTTTAAAATTATTATTACTATGCTGGCTGAATAAATAGCATGCACAAAATTCATAAAAATTAAAACAAAACAGAAATTCTGGACGAACCTCAATTGGGCCGATTTACAAACTAAATCTTAATCTAGTCCCTGACTAATATTCTGAACTGAATCCCTAAGCTCTTGAGTCCTCAATTAAAAGGTGTCTTTTACTGCATAATATATACGTTTTGACAGGCATTAGCGAATGTCGATGGGGTGACCGGATTGAGGAAAGTCAATACATTGAGAACTCAATTGAATATGGTTTTCGTTTTGGAATGCATTTATGTATTACTGAATAGTTGAGTGACTAATTCGAGGTTTGTCGAAAACCCTCATTTTCTTTTCAGGAAAAAAGAAAAAAATTGGAAACCGGATTCGGGTTCGGAAATCCAAATACAAATTTTTAATCCTACTCTCGCTGGAGCTGTGTTTTTATCCCTCTCTTTCTAACACCAAATTCCTTCCTGTCTTCTCTACCCTTCCCTCCCCTCTCCTCCTGTTTTTTTTTTTTTTTTTTTTGGTTGGATCTATCGAGGGTTCCATTTCACAATCTCTCGATCCAATCAATCTCCATTTCTTCCTCACCCTTTCTCTCTTTATAGCATCTTGGATTTGGTGCTCGAACCTTGCTTGATTGCTAATTACAGTCCTCCACTGAGATCGAAATCTTGAATTTTGGGTAAGGATCTCTATTGCCGTCTATCAATTTTGAAGTTTCCAGTGGAATTGAAAAAGATGGTTGCTATTGGATCTTTTGAAAGATGTGAAATAATTGACCGTTATAGCAATTTATTAGTTTGTTTTTTGTTGTTTCAAGTGTGTATTGCCCTGATCTCGAACTGGATTACAAAGAGAAACATGCAATTCTTGCTCTGACTTGTGAATCGGGCTGTTGTTTTAATTGAGGAAGACGTGTAATTCTTGCTGAATTTTCAATTGCATATTCTTTATCGGTATCTTTATGTAAATGGGCTCATTAATTAGCTTTTGTTATTGTGTATTTAAAGTCTGAATTATGAAGCTTGAGCAAATATTAGGGTGTTAATCTGCAGTCTTTTTCAATTACTAATTAAATCGGCTATGGGAATGTTGCTTTTGAGATAGTACTGTTTGATATCTTTTCTATATGTAATCATGAGTTACAAGAATTATTACTTCCATTGCAAGAATCTGGCTCAACCTGTCGATGTAGCTAATGGGCTGTCTGATGGAAAGGTGATCATTGTTAGAAATAGATTTTTTTGCTATCTTACCTATGGATATCTTGATTTTTATTAGTTACTATTGAGTATCCCATCACGTGATGTATGTTGAACTATGCCACGCTACTAAGTATCATTAGGAAAAAGGAAAGAATATGTTATGTTAGCACGAACTCTTGATAGCCAAAACATCTTTTTCTTATTTAGCAAAAAAGAGTGAAGAGGAAATAGAATTGTAGTAAAGAGATGGAAGCACAAGAATACATGATTATGTATTTAACACAAGCTCGGCTGGAGTACCAGGTACATGAAGAGATCATACTGTAAGAAGTATTGAAATTTACTACATTAAAAGGAGTCGTGTTTAAATCTACTACATTAACAGTCGTGTCTTGTACATTGTTTGATGGCTGGGACATGTGGATAGTGTTTTTTGTCTTTGAAAATTTCCAGAGGGCCATGGCTATCCTTAATTACGGTGGAGGATTTGTTTATGATGCATTTATTTAGTTTGGGATGGGACAAGACCATAGTATCTTATGGAGAAGTGGCATTTGGAGTATTTTGGGTCAAGTGGAATTTGACAGTCAGTAAAAAGTAAAATCTTACTTGTTGAAGTAGTTGTTATGTACTAGGATAACTTTTTTGGCTTCTTTATCATGCTTCAGTCTGGTTGTGTTAATGGGAGAGTCTTTAGTTCATATTATGCAGGATTGCTGTACTCTTTTTGATGCAGGACAGTGTAGGGGAAGTCTTTAGCTGATCTTTTTAGGTTTAGGGTTGTATTCAAGGGGTTTGGGGATTCAGGAATTGAAATGCAGATCCAAACGTTTAAAATACGAAACAACAAACATCAAGCTAGCTTCACGTCAGTGGAGTTAAGGAATCACTCATTGAAGAAAACGCCCATCCTTATTAATTTGAAATTGGATCAATCAATTCGTTGCAAAATTATCAGTCCAAAATTTTTTATTTCAAGTTCTCTTTCCATCTCTTAGGTAGTGGTTACAGTATTTCAAATAACTCTTTGCATGCTTCTTGTGCTGCATGCCATAGATGTTTTGTCTCCCCGATTTTGTTTGACTTTGATTGATGCATCTCATGTCCATCAAATGCATTACTTGTACTTCAACATTTCTAAAGTGTGATGTATTTTTCAGTTTAGCTGTGCCGCCTTTTGTTATTCTGTCTATGAGTATCACAGCTTTTTGATTGCTTGTTTTGGCAGGTTTAGCTATGGAAGCATAATCTTCCTGAACAGGTAAAGTTGTTTTGTTGAAAACCATGGGGACTGAAAATCCTGGCCGTCCAACTAGTTCACCTTTTGCTGCTGCTCCCCCTACAATGACACCATTTTCAGCATCTGGCCCGATGGTGGGATCAGAGGCCTCAGGGTTTAGACCCCCTGCTCAACCTCCCCAAAACACCATGCCCTCTATATCATCTGGGCCCGTAGTTGGACCACGGGTCTCTGGGTTCAGGCCTTACAATCCCCCAGCTAGATTTAGTGATCCTTCTGTGACTTCTCCACCAACTGCATATATCCCACCCACCGGTGGAACCTCCTTCCAGCGTTATCCAGCACCACAATTTCCCTCTGCGCATCAAGCTCCACCTACTGGAGCACCACCCATTGGTCAACCGCCATTTCAGGCTCCTGCAGGTCAAGCATCACCTCCAGCTTCATTTCGTACACAGCCACCAGTACCTTTAGTGCCAATGGGATCTCCACCATCAAGTGTAAATGCTCCTCAATTCTCATCAGATTCATTGCCTTTTGCTCCCAGGATGAATTTTCAGCCACCTTTCCCTCCTATGGATTCGTCTTATTCCACTGCCAGGGCCCCTTTGCAGCCACCCTTGCCAGGATATGTAAAGCAGGCAAATGCAGTTTCACAAGCTCCTCCAGTGACCCCCTTTCAAGCTCAACAAGGAGGTTATGGAGCACCCCCACCAACACCACCTCCCCCTTTCTTTCTCAGCAAGGAGGTTTTGCTCAACCTCCACCAGTAGCCAGTGCTGTTGGATTTCATTCCAGGGATCAAATCCAACATCCAGGCTCTGCACCTCCTATAGGTGGCATCCAAGGGTTGGCAGAAGATTTCAGCTCACTCTCTCTTGGATCTGTTCCTGGATCAATTGATTCAGGGCTTAATCCAAAAGCATTGCCAAGGCCTTTGGAAGGGGATATGGAGCCAAATTCATTGGGAGATGCATACTCCATGAATTGCAACCCTAGATATCTTCGGCTTACCACTTCTGCTATGCCAGGTTCTCAATCTTTGCTTTCAAGGTGGCATTTTCCTCTTGGAGCAGTTGTTTGCCCTCTTGCAGAAGCTCCTGACGGGGTTAGTGCCTGTGAAATTGAACTCATTTGACAATCTGGATATGCTTTGTTTTTGTTTGATAATTCCTTTAACCTGTCTTGTCCATTGTTGTTCCTTTATTCAGGAGGAGGTACCAGTAATTAATTTTGTCTCAACTGGCATTATACGTTGCAGAAGATGTCGCACATATGTAAATCCCTATGTGACATTTACAGATTCTGGAAGAAAATGGCGTTGCAACATCTGTGCTCTGCTTAATGACGGTAAGTCTGAAGTACCTTCTAAAGGACACTGATATGATATACTATATGGTGGTTTTAGGGACATTACAGAGAGAACCTGTTTGCAGTCTGTTTCCTTGTGAACCTTGTTACATTTTGCCTATGGTAATATGTGGTCTCTATATTTATGTTTTAAGATTTTAGTCTGCTAGAACACCTTTGCTAGGAATATGGAAAAAAGTTGTGGGCAATGAATTGTACATGTGCTGTTTGAATCAACAGTCTCAAACTTTGTACAACTTGTTTGCCTATCTGTAATGTGAAAGGAAAGCTACTTTTTTGGGTTCAATTGGTATAATCATTGCTGACCATTGTATTCTGGAGTTTTTAGCTTTCCCATCTTATTGTTTGGTTTACCTCATAGGAGTATATTTCAGTATATGCAAGTGAAATGCCATGAATTCAAAGACTGGGAATCGAAAAACTGCGCTAGCTAGTGTGCATAATGCATTAATATTTCTGTATATGGAACTCTCTAATGTGAGTTTTGCACTCTCTCCTCGATGTTCTCTTCATTTGCCTTTGGAGACTGGCTGTAATTGCAAAAAATGGAAAAACTGCACTGGCTAATGGGTATTTCACATCTGACTCCTGTTTATTGGTTTTTGACTTCTTTCTGGTGGATTTTTTTAATATTTATTTCCCTCCTTTCTCTGGGCATGAGACTCTTTCTTTTCATTTTTGATATATGGCTGCACATGCTTTCTTTCTAGCTTCTTCATTTTTTGTTTTTGCTAAAGCAGTTGCTGACATGGTTTAACTGCCATATTCAGTTCCTGGAGACTATTTTGCTCAGCTAGATGCAACTGGCAGAAGAATTGATTTGGACCAGAGACCTGAGCTTACAAAGGGTAGTGTGGAGTTTGTTGCTCCAACCGAGTATATGGTGCGGCCTCCAATGCCACCTCTATATTTCTTTCTCATTGACGTTTCAGTATCTGCAGTTAGAAGTGGTATGATCGAGGTAAGTTCTTTCAGCTAATGCCCTAATACATATTTATTTTTTCTGATTGATGTTTTAATACTTGAAGTTAGAAGTTGTATATTGAAGTCAGTTCTTCCAGATAATGCTCCATGACATCTTGCTTCAGAGCACTAAATTTGTCTGTCCCAGCTGATTCTTAAATTCAAATCATAAATGTGGAGGCTATTCTGTCTATTACGTGATATACCAAATCTGAGGAATGTGGTCATACACTATTGCAAGTGGTTTAGTGCATGCTCTTCTTGATATGAATGATAAAGTCTTGGGTAAGGTTTGCAAGAACCATATTAACGGTGTTTGTTTTAAAGAATGATTGATTGACAAGTCCTGCCCATCTTCTATTGATTCATCTGATTGATATTTAGAAGATATATTTGACTATTCACCTCTTTTCGTTATTTTGAGGAAGGCATCTGACCTGAGAACTAGGGCCACTGTCAGGGTGTATTTGTGTGTATGCTGACCTGACTTTCATTTAAAACTTACATTCACCTTTGAGTTCTCCTGTGCAGGTTGTGGCCCAAACTATTAAGTCCTGTTTGGATGAGTTACCAGGCTTTCCCAGAACTCAGGTTGGGTTTATCACCTTTGACAGCACAATACATTTTTACAACATGAAGGTTAGTGCTGTGTGATCAGATGGAAGTTTATGCTATTGAGATTATTTTCCATCTTCTGAATTTCTTGTGGGATCTTTTTGATGCAGTCATCATTGACACAACCTCAGATGATGGTGGTCTCGGATCTGGATGACATATTTGTTCCCTTGCCTGATGATCTCCTTGTTAACTTGTCCGAGTCAAGATCTGTGGTGGAAGCTTTTCTTGATAGCTTACCCTCCATGTTTCAGGACAATGTGAATGTGGAATCTGCTCTTGGCCCTGCAGTGAAAGCAGCTTTCATGGTTATGGTGTGTTATTTTGTTTCACTTCTCATCACTTCATCTATATATTTACTGGTTTGTTTTAATATTTCAATAGTAACTTCCTACGGGTTGATCACGACCGTAATGAGGTTCACCAATGATTTGAGTTGACAGAACTTGGCAACAGTTATAATTCTTTGGGCCTTTGAAAATATTTGTTTCTTTCCATTTATTTCAGTTCAATTAATGGAGACATGACGTTACAAGTTTTTACAGGGATGAACTTATTTTCGTTTTAGGAACAGCTTTGATTAAAACTCTTATTAGCGTCAGTTTTAATTCTTAAACTAGTTATTGAGTAGACATTTGTGCTCATCCCTCCTTTTGTTTACCTTCAGAAGATATTTATTAGGATCTTGCTTAGTTTGCTCTTGAAGGGAACATAGCTGTTGCTTGCTGTTCTTTTCTCAAGTATTTTGGTCATCCATTCATTTTTCATTGACGCCTTCCTCTCTCTCTGCAGAGCCAACTTGGTGGGAAGTTGCTGATATTTCAGAACACAATGCCATCTCTTGGTATTGGCCGTTTGAAGTTGCGTGGAGATGATCTTCGTGTTTATGGAACTGATAAAGAGCATGCCTTAAGAATTCCAGAAGATCCATTCTATAAAAACATGGCTGCTGAATGCACCAAGTACCAGATAGGAGTTAATGTGTATGCCTTCAGTGAGAAATACACTGATATAGCCTCCTTAGGTACCATATTTATCTTAGCTTGCTTGTTTTCAGCCAAAGAAAAAAACGAAACGACAAGAAAATAAATCTTGCTTGTTTCTGTGATTTACTTTAATGGAGCCAACAAAACTTTTTTTTTTTTTTTTTTTCTGTCTGTTAGAGTCGATTTTCTTTTTTAAAAATGATCACTGTTGGTTTTTTATTTTATTTATAGCAAGTAAACTGTTTTTTTTCTTTAATTTAACATTCACACAATCTGCTGTGGAGATTATTTTGAATATGATATGTTGTTTTAGAATTTTTGCCTAATAAATTTGACCTTTAGTACTTCTGGCTAGCAGAGATTGATGAATTCATTTATGGCATCCAGCATTGTTGGTGTTGGCATGGTTTTCTGATTTCATACCTTCCGATTTCTATGCTACTTAGCTGAAGAGTTAGTGTGGTGCATATCTGGGTTGTTTAGTCAGGTTGACACTTGTTACATGGAGGGTCTTAGTTTTTCCTTTAGTTAGGTTGTTTTGCTGATTGTTTCTTACTATAGAACTGTCTCCTTTATTTGGTCAATTGCTCTTAAATGATGTTTTTTAACAATTTTTCTAAGTCGGCTAAATATTGACAATTGTTACAAATTAATTTTTCTCTCTTTACAGGAGCTCTAGCAAAATACTCCGGAGGGCAGATATATTACTATCCAAGTTTCCAATCGGCCACTCATGGAGAGAAGTTGAGGCATGAGTTGGCTAGAGATCTTACAAGAGAAACTGCTTGGGAAGCTGTCATGCGCATAAGATGTGGAAAAGGTTTGTCCTGTCACGTTTCTTTCTAAGCCTTCTATATTTTAGAGCAGATGCATACAAGCAACATGAATACGTCCTTTTGTTGTTTGGTCTTGTTGATTGATAGAAAGTTGATTCCCCACCCTCTTCTATTGCTATGTGCTTCCAGGCATTCGGTTTACATCTTACCATGGAAACTTCATGCTAAGATCCACAGATTTATTAGCGCTTCCAGCTGTTGATTGTGACAAAGCATATGGGGCACAGTTATCACTTGAGGAAACATTACTTACAAGTCAGACAGTATATTTCCAAGTTGCTTTGCTGTATCCTCTGAACTGAATTATATAAAGCTAATTTTTCATCTGAGTTTCATACATCTGCACATGTATAGTGCACTTCTGTTTTTTATAAATATGAACTCCAATAAGAAATTTAGGTATACATTCACAGGTCATTTCCTAATTTGACTACTTGTCTTCAACCAAGAGTCAACTCTCTCTCTCTCTCTCTCTCTCTCTCTCTCTCTCTCTCTCTCTCTCTCAGGTGTTTGCTGATGCTTTCGAGTTGGTCAAAATATTGAGAAAAGAGCTGTCTATTCAAGTGTCATAACCATCTATTGTTAATCGGATTGCATTTATCGTTTTTGACATTAAAAACCTTGGGGCTCACTTTTTTTCTTTTTAAAGATATATGAAGTATGAATCTCATTATTTCTCAGTGGGATTAAGTTCCTGGTCTTTGGGAGACAATTTACTGATTTTTTTTTTTAAGTTTTAGCTCAGGATCCCATGCCAGGCTCTCTGCATGCTCAATCCTTTTTTTCACTTTTGGTTTTTTGCAAGGATTTTCCACCTTCATTCATGTTGGGCATATGTGTCTTCATGGTCAAATATGGTGCAATAATGTTATTGAGTATGAAAGAACAGGTTTACGGAAGTTCTCTTAACTGTCAAAAGATACACTGCTTCTTGTGGAGAGAGGCGTATCAGAGTGCACACAGCAGCAGTGCCTGTGGTTGCAGATTTGGGGGAGATGTACCGTCAGGCCGATACTGGTGCTATTGTGTCTTTGTTTGCTAGGCTAGGTGGGTTGGAACTAGACATATTTTATTGATGACTCTGGTTTTAGATATTGGTGTAAGGTGAGCATTATGATTCTCCTGACGAAGTTAATCAATTGCAGCAATCGAGAAATCATTGTCCCACAAGCTGGAAGATGCACGGAGCTCTGTACAGTTGAGGATTGTGAAAGCTCTCAGAGAATACCGAAATCTCTATGCTGTGCAACATCGCTTGGGAGGAAGGATGATATATCCAGAACCTCTGAAGTTTTTGCCTTTGTATGGATTAGCACTTTGTAAATCAGCAGCTCTCCGAGGAGGGTATGCTGATGTTCAGCTTGATGATCGCTGTGCAGCAGGATTCACTATGATGGCGTTACCCGTAAACAAAATGCTGAAGCTTTTATACCCTAGCTTGATTCGAGTAGATGAATATCTTTTGAAGGTAAAAGTATTTCCTATATTTTGCAGTGGCGATGTTGTTTTTGCTTAACACTAATAGTGGATATCCCATCTCATTTATGCAGCCATCTGCACAAGCCGATGAATTCAAAAACATCATGAAACGGTTACCATTGACCGCTGAGAGCTTAGACGCCAGAGGCCTTTATGTATATGACGATGGTTTTCGCTTTGTTGTATGGTTTGGTAGAATGCTTTCACCTGATGTAGCAATGAATTTACTAGGACAAGATGCTGCTGTTGAGCTTTCGAAGGTGTGCCCTGCCTCTAATCTTGATATAACTTACATCCATGCCCTTTTTCACAATCATTCCAAGCTTGCGCTATTTTTGCATTTTGTGCAAGGAGGATGCTATTGCTTGGTTGCTGTTCAAAATTGGGTTGAGGGTCTAATATGGCCTTGTCTTAATTGAGCTTCAATGTGTGTATGCATATGAAAAAATGTCCATCATAAGTCAAGCGTGGGCCATAAGCTGCTGTATAGTTTGTATACTAATTCATTAGTTGTTCTTTAGTTGACCTTTCTTTTGCTAGCTACTTCATTGTGATGCTGTAATTGACCTCCTTTTTATGCTCTGTACTAATCAGGTTACTCTTGGTAAGCATGATACGGAGATGTCAAGAAAGCTAATGGGGTTACTAAAGAAATTAAGAGAGAGTGATCGTTCATATTATCAGCTGTGCAATCTTGTAAGACAAGGTGAACAGCCCAGAGAAGGTTACTTCCTTCTCACCAATCTTGTGGAGGACCAGATTGCGGGTACCAGTGGTTATAGTGAGTGGATGGTGCAATTACATCGGCAAGTCCAGCAAAGTGCATAAATTGCAGCCAGTGGTGTTTTGTGCTTATTTCATTGTAAGGTCACTTCTTTGAAATTATTTTGACATAATTTACCCACCTGTGCACAGAATTTCTCATTTAGGACATACATGAGAATAGTGGGTACATACCTGTGCTCACGTTGAATATGGCAAAAGATAAGGCATAAATTATGCAGTTGTTTTGGTGCTCCGTGTCAGCCACCTTTTTCCAGAGTGATCTTTCTGCTTGGTGGAAGTACTTCTTTATGTTTCACTTTTTTCTTCTCCTCTGTTTTTTTTTTTTTTTTTGAGATTTTGGAATTTCTTATGTGCATGGTTTTCTAAATTTGGCATCATTCACTCCTGCAAAAACTTGATATCTTTCATTATGCAGGGTTTTATTGTTGGCTTGCCTGTGCCACACTTGTGAGTGATGAAACTTTTGTTCAAAAAAATCATAAATAATCAGCACTTGACCATGGATTCCCGTCGATATTGTGGGTGGTTGAGTTGGACTGATTGCCTGATAGACTTCGAAGTTACCATTTGTTTGGCCCTTAAGAGGATTCAATAATTAGGGGAGATTTACTTTAGTGATTAGTTTGGTGCGGCAGTTTTCATGTTGAAAAGCAAAACAGCATTGATATTTTTTGGTATTTGATGACGTAATTATCATCAGCAATTGTTATAGTTGTGTTATATCCCCAGTTTTTCTGCGTTAAAAATTTTGAATGTCCTTTAGGCGTTTATTTATTAAGAGATGTTCTATTTTTGCTTAAAGAACTGTTGCATCTTGTGCTTCAGAACAGTTTTATTTTTTCGGTATTGGAATCAATGCTTGTTATTCTGATTATTCTGTTTACTCATATGTTTAACAAATGCATAATGCTCTCTCCCTCCTTCCCACATGAAAAAAAAAGAAGAAAGAGAAGAAAATTGGAAAGCAAAGAAAAATTGGAGGGAGATCATGGGCACCATACGGTTTCGTCTCCTTTTTATGTTTTGGATGAAAACGATTAGTAATTAATTAATAAAACGATCAAAGAGAATTACACATAATAGAGAACCAATAGGCATTTGGTTGGTAGGTTTAATTTTTCTTTTTTTGGGAGTATTTAGATTTTTTTTTTCAACTAATTATAAAAGAATGTTATTATCTTTTATTTTTGTAATGTTGGTTAATTTAATCTCTTGTGAAAATACGATCCTTCTCCTGACCATGGAATCTCCTTCTCTTTCATACTTTGCTGACTGCTAATTACTAATTTTTTGCCTCTGATTACAGGCTGCAGATTCCTAGGATAATGAATAATAATAATAAAGAGGGTCAACAATCCAGCTGGGGGATCTTCCAACCAAATTAAATAATCTCCTAAAAACTTGGGCCTGACTTTCAAGGAGACGGGCCACGCTATTCGAACCTCTACGCCTAAAACGGAAACCAGAATAGATTCTGAGAAGTGATCAAATCCATGCGAAGGTGGTGGTCATTGACATTTTAAAATTTGTGTTCAGCGTAAAGGCAATGGTGTGGCTGCTGGGATTATAAACTAAACTTTTCAAAGGCGATGTGCAGAACCGCATTTTTCCCCCATCTCTTTCCCTTTACGAACCTTTATTGAAAAAGATAATGGTGTGGCTGCTGGGATTCGAGCCCAGGTCTCCACGGCCACAACGTGGAATTCTTACCACTAAACTACAGCCACTTGATGTTAACTTCTTAACACATATTTTATTAGTAGTTATCTTATATCGGTTTTTCTGTTTTTTTCTCTGTACGTAGTGGGGATGGACGGGGTTCGGCTAGCTATCTCCTCCTACCTGCAGATTGCAAGTTTGCAACGGACACTGCCGGACTCTGACATAAAACTATTCTCGGTAGTTATACCTATCGATTTAGACGAGCAATCTCCGCCATTGTACTGTCTCGTAGCCCTCAAATTCTGATAAATTGAGAGTAGGATCATCTTCACTAGCCTCATCATATCTATTTATTGTCATCTTAATTAGTAGTTGCACTAACTGAAGCTATCTGTTTTCCCTTGTAGGATTTACTTCATCCTTGACGAGTTTTTCTTCACGCATATAAGAGGCAAAAGGATCTAAGAATTTTTTTTTTTGAAATCATGAATTAATAGGTTCAAACATCAGCATACAAAAAGCCCTTTAAGGGCAGTAGGGGTATGGTTTAAGATAACTAGATATTTCTTTTCTTAGCAAGTTCATAAAGTGAAGGGCAACTTTGAAGAAAGAGAAGCAATTAATTCGAACATCGTTTGAATTTTATGTTTCATTCAAGAGCATGGACCAACAATGTGATTTTTTTTTCTTTCCAATTCGTTTTCACTGTAAATAACTTTAGCAGATATTTGTTATCTATGTTACTAAATCCAGCCATGGATTCCCATAACTTCCAATTCACTGCTGCAATTTTGCTGGAAGATTGAAGATTGAAATTGATACAATTTTGTCAATTCTTCTCTTGATTTTTTTTATATAGTTATGTTGGAGTTGGAGTGTTTGACTTGTCATCTCAGATATTTTATTCCCCACATTTTTTACATGTGACATTTGTATTCATTTTGTCCAGCAAACATTAGATGCAGATGCAATCGCCCTTTAAATTCTTTGAAAAGACAAAGAAGGACAAGCCCAAAAGTACGTTGTGTAAAAATTGAATTATATTGATTTTTTTTTCCAAGGTATAAAAACTCAATTAGAAATATTAAAGATGTCCACCAAAATAAAAATAAAAATAAAAATAAAAAAGGATGAGTATTTTTCTAACCAGAAGTTCCTTAACCCCTTGTTTGGATAGGGTGGAAAGTGAAGGAGAGGAAAGAAAATAGGAAGGAAATGAAAAGTTTTCTCCGTTTGGTTTGCAGAAGAAAGCTAAGGAAAGAAAGAAAAAATTAAACAAAGCTAAAAGTGGTGGGACCCATTTTTCTCTCAAAATTGGGAGGAAACGGAGAGAAAAACGAAAGGAAACCGATTTGTCTCATTTTTCTTCCAGTTTCGCCCTAGCGATCGTTCCTTCTCTTCCTCTTCCTTGCACTCTCTCGCTCTCGTTTACCAACAACCCATCATTGAACTTCGCAAACCCCATCTTCCATTTTCGCCCTTGCTCGTCGTTCCCTGCCGTTGCTCAGCCGATCTCGCCTCCGCCTCTGCAAAGCCACTCCCTCTCTCTCGCCGAATCCGTTACCAAACCAGCCACCGAAACTCGTCTCTCGCAAACCCTATCCGCCATTTCCGCCCTTGCCTATCATTCCCTTTTGTTGGTCGACCGATCTCGCCTCTCGCCTCTGCAAACCCACCCCTTCTCTCTCGTTGAATCCGTTACCAAAACGACCACGAAACTCGTCTCTGCAAACCCTATCCGCCATTTTCGATATATGTGTGCCCTTCCTTTCGTTGTATTGTCCGATCTCGCCTCTGCAAACCCACTACCTCTCTCTCGCTAAATCCGTTACCAATGACCCATAATTTGTATTTTTTTTTCGGTTTCTTGCATCCGATAGCGTCGCCACAGGTGTTTCCGAGCGACGAAGGTTACACCCATTCGCAGCTCCTCTAAAGTTTGTAGCGTCGGCGAGGCGGGTATTATTTGGTTTTGATCAATTCACTATCCAACTTGATTAGGCTCGGAATTTATTGCTTTCGTGGATAATGAAAATAAGATTATTTGAAGGATGATTGCTAAAGAAATTCAAAGAAAAGGTGTTTGGAAATTGCTACATGCGTGGATTAGTCCGGCATTTGTTTGCGTGTCTAAATTGAGGTCTTTGATGTTGGAAAATTAAATTTGACATTTTGATGAATTTGTTGCAGCTTATGGCCTTGGCGGATCCGGAGTTTGATTACATCAATCCTTACGATTCCTCATCTCCGATAAATAAAGTGATTTTGCCGCAGTATATAATGAAGGGGTTTTGTGCTTATTTTTTCTCGTTACGAGGCACTGGTGTATGTCACGTTTTGTGCATTCCATACCTTTATTACAATGTGAGGTTGTAAGTTTTATCTTCTTCTCTGTTCGGTAGAATTATACTTTGCCCACATCCGAAAATTTCTTGTTTATCGAGTATAAGAGAAAGATAGAGAAGTAGCTTTTAAGAGGAAATGAGGTCCACCGTATTAAGACTAAACATTTATTCCCTCGAGTAATAAGGGTTCTATTTCATCAATGCGGTGTGAATAAGATATTTTCAACTAATTGTCGCTCAATCCATGCTATAATGATTGGTTTAGTTGATTATTTGGTGGATTGTTTGACGAAACATTCGGAATATCCAAACAAAGTAGGCGGATAGCTATAGTTTTAGAAGGCTTCGATACTTTAGAATTTCAGCTGGATTGGTGCTTAGACTTGAGTTTCCATGTTTGGAGCCATGAACTCATATTAAAGCGACCTATCCGTGCCCCTATGAAGCTAAGGGTATCACAAGCTTCATACATTTTCCGAGTCTTGCTCTCTATGTTTATTTCATGTTTGTCGATCTATTGAATGCGATCATTTGTATAATCCGACCATGTCCGTATTAGAGATAGACTCATCCAAAATTCGGTAGTACTCGCAAGTGGATGAATCAATGCTTGTTTTTTTCTCTCATCTTAACTCCGGAATAGTCATACTCATAAAGAAGTAAAATCCTAATGATATCATTGTATATTTTATGATTTGTTTAGTCGGCATGCCCATATTACACTCCGTGTTGCCATTGTGAGGTTCTTGAGCTATGGTTCTCAAGTTATGGGGTTGGGGGTCGTGGTCTTCCCCGATCTTTCGAACAAGCTCGGATCGATTTTTTATATGGTTAGGTTTAACACACCCTTGCTAATCTCGTTGATAGAAGCTGACCTCATGAATTGTGTAAAGGGATCTTTGAGTAAATCATTTCATTTTTTTTGTAGTAATTACGACTTAAAAATATGCTAATTTTTGTACTTTGCTAGCTATTGAATTTTATGTTGATAATTAATCTAAATTGGCTATTGAATTAATTAATTAATTAATAAACAATTATCAAACTCGTATTATTTCATACATTATAATTTAATGGACTCTCCTCCGGCCCTCTCGCTTATCTCTAACGACCATTGACATCGGCACATGCAACGCTTAATGCCATGACAAAGTATCCGCACAAAATTATACGTATATTAATTTAGATTGCTGAAAATTTTCCGGTACAAGCAAGTATTAGATCCAAATCTTAGCTTCACCCAAATGTGATTAATACTAATTATATAGTAAAAATTAATTCAAGTAAGCGAGGTCGTTCACCAACTTATTATTAGTATTATTTATTAATCGGAAAATCAAGGTGTGAAAACCGAAACATTCAACATTTGACCAAAACTCAAACAACAACGTCGAATAGCATTCTATAAATGTACAAGTCCAAGTCGTCTACCAATATAAGCAAGCAAACGAGACCTAAAATCAACCCCAAAACAGATCCAACACCTACCCAAAAGCCCCCAAACTCAGCCTTGAAACTATCACCAACACCCGCCAAAACCGTTACAGAGCAACTCCTTTGGAAAGGCCATTTGAACCACCAAAGAAGCTCCATAAACGCACCCAAATCAGTTTCAAAACCACCCAAAAAAACCTCAAAAACCCTTAAAAAAGAGGCGTAAAACCAACCCCAAAACAGACCCAACACCTACCTAAAAGCTCCCAAACTCACCACAAACCGTTACCAACACCGCCCGAAAACCTTTACAGAGCAACTCCTTTGGAAATGCCATTTGAACCACCAAAGAAGCTCCACAAACACCCCCAAACCAGCTTCAAAACCACCTAAAAAACCCCAAAAACCCTAAAAAGAGAGGCATAAAACCAACCCCAAAACAGACCCAACACCTACCCAAAAGCTCCCAAACTCAGCCACGAAATTGTTACCAACACCCCCGAAAACCGTTACAGAGCAACTCTTTTGGAAAGGCCATTTGAACCACCAAAGAAGCTCCACAAACACCCCCAAACCAGCTTCAAAACCACCCAAAAAAACCCCAAAAACCCTAAAAAAGAGGCCTAAAACCAACCCCAAAATAGACCCAACACCTACCCAAAAGCTCCCAAACTTAACCCCGAAACCGTTACCAACACCCCCGAAAACCGTTACAGAGCAACTCCTTTGGAAAGACCATTTGAACCACCAAAGAAGCTCCAAACACACTCCCATACCAGTATTCAAAACCACAAAAAAACCCACTAAAATGGACACAAAATATCCTTCAAGACATACCCTCGAACACTTTTTGGAGTTACCGCAAATGAAGAAATAAAAATTATTTGTGATTTGTCTCATTTTTTATGATTTAATTGACTTTCTATAATTGTTCGCAATGTTACCATATATATTTTTTTTAATTGCTAAATAGTAATTGTTTATTCTAAAAAAAACGGAGAAAATGATGGGTAAAAGCAACTCACTTATTATATGCATAGATAATAATACATGTTATACATATTTAAATTAATTTTATATTGATAATTAATCTAAATTGGCTATTGGATTAATTAATTAATAAACGAGTTATCGATTATCATATGGAGACGATTCATTATCTATCTTATCATTTCGGATATATGCTACATGCTAGATTTTTATTTTATTATCATTTATGTTATTTTCATGAAAAAAATATTCATACAAATTTATTATAAGTATTTAAATATAGAAATATAATTACAACGGTATTGTAGTAAATATACCTTAATACATTTTCTTTCCTTCATCTTTTTACAATTATCCAAACAAGGAAAATGTATTTTCTTTCATTTTCTTTCTACCTTTATCCAAATAACAAGTGAAAAATGATTTTCTTTTCTCTCTCTTTTCTTTTTTCTCACTTTCTTTCCTCTGTTTTCTTTCTTTCCAAGAGGAATTATCCAAAGGGGTAAAATACAGCAAACTCCATCATTGACCTGCAATCATTTCACTCATGACTCCACGGTAAAAAAAGGAATTATCGACAACAACTTAAAGTCACCATGATTTCATCACCGGATATGAGAAAAATACTGAATTTACCTATGACTTTACTCCTTCCCATAACAAAAGTTACTGGAGCCTGAGTACTTTATTTGTCTTTAAGTAACAGAAAAAAAGTTACTGGAGCCTGAGTACTTTATTTGTCTTTAAGTAACAGAAAATGAACTTACCTAACCTAAGCACAGTGGAAAAAGAAAGAAAAGCCCAATCATTATTTCAAGCCTACTAAGCTACACTCTCCTTCTTCTCCTCCTTTCTGTCTCGGAGTTGACAGTGCAAGTGACTATGAAATCATCACTACTGTTTCTCTTCACAATCTGTACGTTTCTGTTGTATTCATCAGCTGCATTGGATGACAGTCTCACCTATGTATGGCCTTTGCCGGCGAAATTCAGTTCTGGAAATAACACTCTCTCTGTTGACCCGGAACTGTCGCTAGTTGTAGGTGGCAAAGGAGGGACTTCGAGTATTATTAAAGATGGGTTTGATAGATATAAAAAGATTATATTCAAGCACAGTAGTAAGAGTTACTCTGTCAATAAAAGATTGGTTTTTGATATTGGGATTTTGAAGATTGTTGTTCTTTCTGACAACGAAGAGGTAAAGTTTTAAACTTCTTTATAATCGGGACCATTCGGGAAATTGGGTTTTGGGTGTATGAAAGATTGAGGGGTTTTTTTTTTTTTTTTTTTTTTTTTTTTTTTAAACGATGATCATAGGGACTGATTGATAATTTGGGTTTTTGTATTGTTGCAGCTTCAACTTGGAGTGGACGAGAGTTATTTGTTGCTTGTGAAGAAGAGAAATGGTCGGTCTATTATTGGGGAGGCATATATTGAGGTAAAGTTTCAATTTTTAGTTTTTGTGAATTGATGGAGCCCCAGATACACTCTTCAATTATTTCTTAATGTAGTTTGGTAGAATGTAATGAAATCAAAGAAGGAGATGACTTTTTTCTACTATATGTATTGTACATGCGATATGGGGATTGATTCTTAAGTCCAGCTACTTTATTACTGAATGTAATATTACTAATGAACTATAATATTTTGACTGGCTATGTCTTTTTCTAGTGATGATTATGTTCTCCTTGTTGTTGCTGCAGGCGAATACTGTGTATGGTGCATTGCGAGGATTGGAGGTATGTGTGTCACATTTGAAGTGAAAACTAAAGTTGTCACATGCATATAATCGTGGCTTGTCAGGATTTTGATTTTGATTATAAGTTGGATTGCCGCTTTCCAATTGATCAGAGAGGGAGAATGGGGCGGGACGGGGCGGGGGCGGGGGCGGGGGATTAGGACTAAGGAGGTAGAGACCAGGTACATTTTTACTTCAATTCGTCCACACGTGGAGTAAATGCACAGTCATTAAGAATTAATACCATAAATGCGGAGCCAAAGAGGTCAAGTACTCTGTTTACTCTCTTGTTGTGCTCACTTTGACCTCTACAAACCTCTTTGCCATTGAGAAAAATTATCTGGCATTAAATTATTGCCATCATGAGTTCATCTTCGTTGTGTGGCTATTTGTGACAGTCTATGAAGCTGCGTGCTTGTGATTTCATCGAGTGTATGGATTGTATCTACCTTCTAAATATTGAACTAACTGCTAGAAAAGAATGGTGAGTATATGAGTGGTTGGAGTTGTGCATGCTAACCTTTCCTTTTATTTTCTTTTCTGTGATCTTTCAGACATTCAGCCAACTGTGTGCATTTGAATATGAAACTAAAACAGTACAAATATACAGAGCACCATGGTACATTCTAGACAAACCGAGATTTGCATACCGTGGGCTTTTGATTGGTGAGACATTTCTTTTGTTGAGGGAGATAGCTAATTGCAAGCTCTTTTCCTAACATAATTTTGTTTATGAAAATGTTGCTTAGTTCCTTTCTTAAATACACTCTTGCAGATACTTCAAGGCACTATCTACCAACTGATGTCATTAAGCAGATAATTGAATCAATGTCATATGCTAAACTTGTAAGTAATGTTGTTGTTTGAGAGCTTTGTATTCCACAACTAGAATTCATTCAGGCACACACTTCTACATTACCATTCTTTTCTCCTTTTATTATTTTGTCATTATCTGATAGTGGATATTACATTCAGTAGAATGTCCTCCATTGGCACATTATAGATGAAGAGTCATTTCCTTTAGAAGTGCCTTCCTACCCAGATTTATGGAAAGGTTCATATACAAAATGGGAACGATACACGGTCGAGGATGCATATGAAATTGTGAAGTAAGATTCCTATTACTCATTCAATAACTTCCTTATTTAAGCAAGTATCATATAGCTTATTCAGCAAAACATTCAGAGTGATTCAAGATTTAAGAAATGATCAATGGTGAGGGACTCAACTTTAATGGACTCAACAGAATGAATGGTTTAAGCAAACTAGACTTATCTATGACTTGAAAATTATCGTTTTGAAAAAAATAATGCCCATTTGTCGTTTTTCTTTCTTTAAAAAAAATTCCCAAGCCTATGTTAGTTTCTTCATCATGTCTATTGAATGTTATGCGTCCTTAATCTGCCTGGCTAACTTGTACTTTCTTTTTTTCTTTGTTTTTGTGCTTGCATGGAATAACGTGAAGCTTTGCCAAAATGAGAGGTGAGTCTCGTCCTTTTATTTATTGAAACTGTAGAAAGAAAATTTTTAGATCATGTCTCTAAATGAATATTTTTTTTCCCTTTGTGATTAAATGTAATTATCAGAAACATAACACTGTCAGTTTGATGGGAAAAACAAAGCGCAATTATTTCCTCCATAGGCTATTTCAAAATTTTTAGTGATAAAATGATTATCAAATTGTCTTGGGCTTGAAATAGTTTCTTTCGTGTATGCTTTTCTTACCATCTATGCATGGTTTATGGCAGGTATCAATGTCATGGCTGAAATAGATGTTCCTGGTCATGCAGAATCATGGTAAGGCACTTCTTATTATTAGTTTCTCAAATGTTGTTTTTGTATTTGTCCTTGTAAGAAAATTTCTTGGTTTAGCTCAGATTTGGCAAACATTGCTTCACCATATTCAATATGAGGGATGTGACTTTCTATTCTTTCATCACACCAATCTTTAATATAGTCTATGTTTTTTCCCCCTCCCTTACAAAAGGAGAAAGAAGAAAATGCTTAAGCTTTCAATTTCCCTTTAGAATTTAATTGACTGGTTGTACGTTCTTGCTCTATCAAGTGGTACTACTGCAAAGTTCTCCATTTAAAAACTTTGAACTTGTGATCTTTTTTTGTAGGGGAACTGGATATCCTGACCTTTGGCCTTCTCCTTCCTGTAGAGAGCCACTTGATGTTACAAAAAATTTTACTTTTGACGTGATATCTGGCATTATGACAGGTTAAGCTCCGTTAATGACTTTCTTTGCTAGTTGTCAAGTTCACTTTTGCATCTGCAATTTTTTTGTGATTATATGGATCTTTATCGCCCTTTTCCATGGTGAGGACATGTGATATCTATGCTTGAAGATTCTGTATAAAGAAAATTAACTGGGTTTTAACTGACAGTTATATTTTTGGCAATCCAGTTCATGAAAGTTATAGTAGTCTCTGGTGGATTTTCTTGGCTTTGAGCTGAACCAAAAAAAGCGTTAAGTTAGTCCAAAATGAAATTAATGTATCATTTGGGCATGTATTCCTTCTTCTCTTTTAATTTTTGACCTTTGCATTTTGTTTTACAGACTTGAGGAAAATTTTCCCCTTTGGGCTCTTTCACTTGGGTGGCGATGAGGTTAACACAGGTCAGTAGAAGTGCTTTTCTTGTTGAAAGCTAAGATTTCGAAATCACTTAATTTATGAAAGAAACTAGCTGCAATCGCTAGAGCAACAGGACTTGCAGCTTGCAAGAGGTGTTTGCTGCTGCATCACCAGCAAGCAGATTACACAGCCTTTTCTGACTTTCTGATGTGTCATTTGTGTGAACTCAGTTTTATGGAATCCTAACAGAAACAAGGTGGCTATGCTAACCTTGTGTGTATGTGACTGATCTGGTCATGCTTAGGCATTTGATGTTGAAGTGAACAAATGAAAGATACAGAGGGAGGAGAAAGAAGAGGAACTGAAACTTAAATGGAACAAAAACTCTAAAGTCCATTCGATATAATTTATTATGCTATCTCTATGGAGTGACTAAATTGACATCAGATGGTAATCATGATTACCCCACTTGTGACTTTCAAATGAAAACTTGCAACCTCAAAAGTCTTTGGAAATCACATAATAACTGTTTTGGCCAAAACTCTCATTTTTCATTTTTAGTGTTAGAGGCTCTCCTAGTTTGATAAAGAAGCAGCCATTAATTTGACAAAGCAGAGCTTGAGAGAGTTGCGCACAAGATAATATCTTTCAGCTCATTACCAATAAGCTTCAATTTCAAAAACCTGTTCATTAAAATCACTTATATTTGCTCTAGCAATGACCAAAATTTGGATTTTAACTGCTCACACTGTGTGCACATGTGTTTGTCCATATTTTCATGCTTATGCTGCTTAGTGCCACTAAAATGGTTCAATATCTGACAGATTGCTGGCACTCTACACCGCATGTGAAACAATGGTACATTCTTGAACTCATTTGCATTATTATCTTCTTCACTTGTCATGTGATGATTTATAGTTCCAAATTAACCTGCTAAATTTAGCATGTAATTATATCTTGCTAGAGTATAGCTTGAAGGAAATGGGTAGAAAACTTTAGAATTTACCTCAAAGGTGACACTGTTTGATCATTCTCAGGCGAACTTATTAGTTTAAATTTCTGCTGTGAGCAATTTTATGCATTTATCTCTGGTGTAGGAAGTTTGTAGGCAAAAATATTTGTACTTTCCATTTTTGTAGTCTGATGGCCATGTCTCTCCAGCATTTTGCGTACAGCTTATGCTTAGGAGAGTCCTATACAGTCCATGGCTCATTGTTTTTGGGCTTTCACATGAGAAATAAATCTGTTATAAGAGAAGGAAAATTAGACACACAAGATGACAGGAGTCATAAATGATCTGTTGAAGTCCAATAAAGTGAGTCCTAGACATTCTCTACTGATTGCTAGTTTTCTACCACTCAAGAAAAGGATCTTATAAAAGATGGCCAAAAACACATGTCCTGGAAGTTGGTTGGCTTGCATGTTGCATCATGTCCAACAGGCTTTTATAGCGTATTTGTTTCCAACATCTGGGTTTCATTTTCTTTTTCCTGTTCAATATCCATCTTTTGCAGAAACTCGAAAGTTCCAAGGTCTACGGCTCAACTGATTTACATGAAAGATGGAAATAATGAACAAAGTGCTTTGCTCTGCTCTGTATTTTTAAAAATTTTATGTTGTATAATTGTATCCTATTGATGTGCTTTGATGCATACTTACTATTTGGGTGATCTTAGATAATAATAGATCGTCATTGTCATGCTTACATTTTGGAATTGCCCAAGTGCGAGGTATTCGTGGATGAAAAAGGTGCCTGGTATTGAGGCAGGGGGCCTGTTAGTTTTTCATGTAGGCATATAGTATCGTCATTCCTCCATTTGTTTATTATCTGACTGAATCTTTTGTGCCCTTAATTAAGTATGAAATTTATTTGGCTACTAAGTTACATGCTTATTTAAATGTTCACCAATCTAATTGTAGGCTTCTTGATCACAACATGACAACCAAGGATGCATATCGATATTTTGTATTGAGAGCTCAAGAAATAGCAATTTCAAAAGGTTGGACCCCAGTCAACTGGTATGTTCATATCTGCATCATATAAAACAATTCCAGCACTTCAAAATTGGCTTTGCTCTTGGATTTTCCTGTCTATAGACATGTCATAACAAGATGACCTGTTGAAATAGACTTCTTATCCATGTTATTTGTTCCTCAAATTAGAGATTTTTAGCTCTATAGACATTTGACGGATCTTTATTTTATTATCTCAGGGAAGAAACTTTCAATACATTTGCATCAAACCTTAATCCAAGGACTATAGTGCATAACTGGTGCGTTTCTGTTCCCAGATACTTCCATTTTAGTACCATACCAACATAACAGGTTCAATGTTTTAATAATGGACTTTTCTTTCTGCTGCTGCAGGTTGGGTGGTGGGGTCTGTCCAAAGGCAGTTGCAAAAGGTTTCAGATGCCTCTTCAGCAATCAGGGATTTTGGTATCTGGACCATCTCGATGTCCCTTGGGATGAAGTTTACAAAGCTGAGCCACTTGAAGGAATAAATGATACTTCTTTGCAAGAGCTTGTGCTTGGAGGAGAAGTTTGCATGTGGGGTGAGACAGCTGATACCTCAGTTGTTCAGCAAACAATATGGCCTCGGGCAGCAGCAGCAGCAGGTATGCCTATAGTCAAATACCCCATCATTAAAAGTGATGTTAAAAAAATGAAGTTAATTTTGGAGTTCTGCAAAATATTTTCACGAGCCTCTACTTAAGTTGCAGACAATTCAGCCTGCTTTTAAAATTTAAAATACATGTCCTCTCATCGATGTGAAAGAATGGGAGGTGCAAACTTTGTCAACTGAAAGCCTTTTCCCTCGCTTAAGAGTACAATAATGGATGGCTGCATACTTTTAGTAAATTAATGATCTGTCAGAGATCATTTACAGTTCCGTGGAGAATTGAATCACTTTATTGTGGTAATATGCATTTTATGACATGAGTTGATGGTTTGTGTTTGAAAACAAGCCTCCGGTTGTTGCTTGTACCGGATCAGTTTTTCTCAAGGATGATCTGTAACTACATCTGTGTGTGTCCAAGAGAGAGATGACCTGGTTGTGCATGGATTTGAATTATATTCTTGCATAAGTATATCTTTTTGTACTTATTTTGGGCTCTTATGCATGATTTTGTTGTCCATTATATCTTATTTATAGAGCGCTTGTGGAGCAAGAGAGAGGCCATATCCTCAGGAAATATTACCTTAACTGCATTACCTCGCTTGCATTACTTCAGATGCCTATTGAATAGGCGTGGAGTTCCGGCTGCTCCTGTCACAAATCACTATGCGCGACAACCTCCAAGGGGTCCAGGGTCATGCTACGAGCAATAATAATATTGTTCTCAGATTAGGTAATTTCACGTCTTCAGCCTGCATTTCTGTGTTTTTGTATATGAACATGATCATTTCAATTGTCTGGTTTCTTCTAGTGTTTGTATAATAAGTTATTGGGGTTAATTTGATGCGGTATGTCGATGGGTTGGATGAAAAAGTTCAGATCACTTATGTTTGTGAGATGAAGTGAATTTCATGTTCTGGCCATCATACTTTGGCCATGTTGTTGTAATTTACCATTTCAAATTATGAATTTGTTCCAGCTGTTTTATATTCAAGTTGTTCCTGAGAATCTCTATCTGAAGCCAATAAGCTTCCTCAGACTTCTATACATCTTCAATGGTGATGGATTTTTCTGCAAATATTGCCTAGAATGTGCTTGGCGTTTTACTGGGACGGCTATCCCTTCCGCAACCAGCATTTTCAGCATCATATGCCTATTTCATTTGCAATTGATTTCTTGGGTAGGCTTGGAGCAAGTTTTTGTATGAATGGAATTTTTTTCCCTCCCCTTTTGATTCCCACTTACAGCTTACAGAAATTTCAACTGAAACAAGGTTTGAACTACTGCAACTACAGTTTTCTTGTCCTTATCAGTGAAAAAGGAAATTGAGGAGAAACTTTGAAATGAATTACAATCAAATATCATGGTCAATTGGATTCTCAGCTAACCGGTCAAATGCTCCATAAAAGTTGAAAAATTAGCAACAACTCTTTAAAAAAATGAAATGAATGATCTCCATTATTCAACTTGGCATTGATTCTTAGTTTGAATCCAACAACTGGCATCAACTTGTTGCTTGCATTTCGTTGACCAAGGCTCTATCCTAATACTGTGAGGTTGTACAAGCTCTGAAGTAAAATCCAAGTTTCTGTATCTCCTCCCTGGATTAGAAATCAAAGTCCAACAGCAGTCTTACCTGAGGAGAACAACTTGATTCAACTAAACAACCAGTCATTGATATACGAGGCATCACTATTGCCTAAAATGAACCACACGTCTCTAGCTTTCATCTTTATCCATGTTCAACTGCTATCTTCCTTGCTGCACAGAGAAGTGAAAAAAAAAAAAAAAGAGAGAGAAAAACTTCCAAAGTTGCTTGCATGATCTTGTAACAAGACTACTGGCCCGGTCCTACCATTTTGTTATATGATGATTTCAGGAGAAACCTCATAAGTGACATTTTTTTCCCTTTGATGTGTGACCCATGAGTGTCTTCTTTCCACATATTTTACCTAGTGTAGCTTTCACGTAACAGTTGGAAAATATGCTCATGATTCATGAGTTGGTAAAGCTGATCTCATTTCCCAATTTTTTCTTTTTTCAGAACCTAATGTGGTTGTTGGTTTTCCTTTTACTCCCCATTTTCCACCTAGGCGTTCTGCTCTTTCCTCTTTTTTTTTTATTGGTCTTTTGTGAGTTGGGTCATATTCGATTATTTAGTCCCAAGATACGAGTCCTTTTCTAGTCAAGAATTATGTGACTTCCACTTTTTAAAGTAGTTTCACATCCACAAGCCATTGCCATATACGCAAAATGCAGGTGAACATACTGAAATATCTGGTCTTTTTTCTTTCCCCCTGGGAAAGTATGTAGTACTTCAAAAACATACTTGGAGTAAATTTGCTTTTCACGTTATCATTTGGGGCTCAAATTTAGATTTTATCTGCATTTGAACCTTATATATATATATTTTTTAAAAAAAAGTATTAAGAACTTCTATTCTTTTTTTTTTACTTAATTAAGATCCTTTATTTTTTCAAAATTTCTTACTTCAGATTTTTTATTATAATATCATTAATCAATAATCAACACATGATCGAGATTTCTTACCTTATAATACTATGTGTCGATCATTAATTAATAGTGTTATAACAAAAAATCTAAAGTAAAAAAATTAAAAAAGCAAAAGGTTTCAATTCAATTAAAAAAAAAAGTAAATAGTCTCGATTACAAAATTTTGAAAAGTATAGAATTCAAATATGACGTAAATCCACTTGAATTTAAAAAAAAAAAAAAAAAGATTGTAAGAAAAAATTTTCTTATAAATACACCGATAAGAATTTTCATGACCCGCATGATCCATCTAGAAAAGGTACTTAATAGTTTACTTATGAATTGATTTAATTGCCCTTTCTAGAGTACACAGCAAACAAGAAATCTAAATAAGAGAATTTTTTTTAAAAAAAATTGACAAATAAATAGATTAATGTAGTTTTCACGTAACAGTGGGAAAATATGCTCATGAGTTGGTAAAGCTGATCTCATATGCCAATTTTTTCTTTTTTTAGAACCTAATGTGGTCGGTTTTCCTTTTATTCCTAATTTTCCATCTTGTCATTCTACTCTTTCCTTTTTTTTGACTGGTCTTTTGTGGGTTCGGTCATATTCGATTATTTGGTGTCCAAGATAAGAGTCGTTATCTGGTAAAAAAATAATGTGAATACTACTTTTTAAAGCAGTTTTACATCCACAAGTCATTGCCATATCTGCAAAATGCAGGTGACCATGGAAAGTGTAAAATAATTCAGAAACGTATTTTGATAAATTTGCTTTCTACGTTATCATTTCAGAATCGAATTTTTTTTTTTTAAGAAAAAAAGGATTGTAAGAAAAAATTTCTTCTAAGTGCACAGATAATAATTTTCCATGACCCGCACCATACGTCTAGAAAAGAACTTAATAGTTTAATTATGAATTGACTTAAATTCCCTATCTAGAACATTCAAAAAACAAACAATCTAATAAAAAAAATCTGAAAAAAATTTAAAAAATAAACATGTTAGAGAGTATGTAATGATAATTGGAATTACGATATTCATTAAAAAAAATAAAAATAATTGGGGAGATGATATTCAACATTAAAAAATAAAATCATAAGATGTGGTAACTCATTGATAAACAATTATTAACTTGTAAGTTAGGATTAGAATTTAATCACTGTTGTTATCATTTTTGAGAATTTATCCTCTAAACATCCATAATTATATATTAAGACGTGCCACTGAGTCACAGCTAGAAAAAAATTAGTTTTGAAGGACATGCAACTTTATTCGAAGACATTCTTGTTGCTGAACTAAAAAATGAAAAAAAGAGTTTAAGCGTGTTTTAACTATTTCATTTTTATCATACTATAATTAGATGGAATGGCATAAGTGTTGTTAAAAAAATTAGTTTTGAAGTGCATGCAACTTTATTCGAAAACACTCTTATTGTTGAACAAAAAAATGGAATACACTCTTATTGTTGAACAAAAAAATGAAAAAAAGGGTTTAAGCGTGTTTTAACCATATCGTGTTTTAACTATTTCATTTTTATCATGCTATAATCAGATGGAATGGCAGAAGTTTTGTTAAAATTTTTGAAGGGCAAAAAAATTTCTTCTGAACTGAGCTGGTGTTGGTACAATTCTAATATCTGACTCTATAGGAATCAACAATTCTTCTGTGATTGAATCACAGCAACCTCACAAACATTTCCTCGTGACATTCATTACTTCTCTTTCTGTCCATGCACTCATATGGCACATTTATTTGCTGTATTTTGCTTCTTTAATCACTCTGATCGTTTCCTCAACTCCTAGCCATTGTCACGGCTAAATTAGGTGGTCAAAATAAATAACTACAAAAGGCCATACACTTTCTATCACGTGGAAGAAAGTTGGGTTTGGTAACAGATTAACGGTGACAAAAATAGAGAGGTTGAATTTTTATTTTTTTTGATAACCGGATCATTGACCATCCATCAACCACCAAAAAAAAGTAGAATAGGATGTGTCCCACTACTGATTTTTTTTCTTATACACATATATATTAAAAAATATTTTTACATCAATTAAAATAAAATTTATTATTTTTTAAATTAAATCAACGTTATAACATTTTAATTTTTAATTAATTAATAGATTATTCTTATAGGCTAAATTAGCATAAATTTAATACATCTAAAAGATAATTATAACTATTTATTATTAAATAATAAAAATTAAATTTTAATTTTAATCCAAGTAAAACAATTCTCCTACGGCCAGAATACATAACTTTTGGTTTTCCACTGCAGATTTCATTTTTACATGAATTTGTTGTACAGTCTGAAAATTTGCAAGTGCCACCACTCGATCAATTTCATTGGCTCTAATGTGCTTACGTCGTCGTTCGATTCTTGTCCCATGACTAAGACTTAATCGATTTAAGCCATAGATGGAGTGAGTATTTTTTAACTTCCTGTTTGTTTGATGGTATTATTGCAAAAATACTTTAAGCTGGAAAATCATTAATTTAATTTATTTGTTTAAGATTATTTTAACATCTTCGTGTCAAAATATACACAATCAGTGAAAAAAAAAATTCCAAACACAGTTTAATTTTTTTTTTATCCTCTAAGATATTTTAGGTTTAAAAATTCAAACTAATCTTTTTTTTTTTTCCTGTCATAAGCACAAAGTAAAGATAACTATGTAGAAAATTTTTTATATACATAATAATTCGAATTCAAAATCAATTCTTCGTTGTTTCTATCGGAAACACAAGGTTAAGATAACTATATGAAATTTTTTTTAATACACAATAATTTGAATTCGATACTATTTATATAAACGAGTAGAGTCTCTTTCACTCAACCTAATCCCCTTAAATAAAAGAATTTGTTTTCCAAATACAGTAGAGTGGGGTTGGGTCTTCTTGATGTGGTTTTGACGCATCAGACTTTTGGGCATTGAACAATATTTCAACCATGAAGAAAACTATAATTTGTTATGATTCATTTGCTTAACTTTCCACGGTTGATGAAATTAGTCTGCATTTCCTTGTTTGTACCTCAAAGTTTTCTTTACTAAATCTTCTCAGCATTAATCGTTTATTTTTTTTAAAAAAAAAACAAAAACCCAAATCAAAGCAAATTTCCTATTTTTTATTTTTAAATTAAAAAATAGAACTCGTTAATGATACCAAAAGAATCTTTAATAGTCGAGGTATTTATAATCTATTCTTAATTCTATTAAAAAAAAAATCTCTTATTCTCTGGTGTCACGGGTGTGTAGCAGTAAAAAGAAATAAAAAAAAAAAAAACCAAAAACTCCCATGGTTAAAAGTGACCTTCTTAGCTAATTAATTCTCTGCATGCTAGCATTTACCACCATTCAAGGTGAAAAAAAAAAAAAAAAGAAAGAAATTGGATAAGTTGTTCACTCAATCAATGTGATCCATATTTAATGGTTGTACCTCAAAGAGATTTCACGGACCACTCTTTGCTAACCTGAAAACATTATTGTTTCACACTTTGGCTGCATCAGGCTTCAATTTCATACTTTTCTTGAATTTTATACGTTGAAGCATACTAATATAAAAAATGATCTACAAATAAAATTTTCATATTTTTCCTACTGTTTTTCTTTTTACCGATGGATATGTCAGTTGATAATTAATAAAATATAAATTCCATGAATTTGATATGATTGAATTCTCATGCAAGAGAAAAAAGAAAACTATCATACGTATCCCATGCATGATAATTATTAGGATTAAAAATATCCGTACCGTCAAAAAACAAATAGCATTATTTCTTTAATTTTTTTTTTTAATTTTTTGCCCCACAATAGGCAAGTAGGTAAGAAGGTGGAGGAGAAATGGTCACAGTTGAAATGGAATGGACCACAATACAGTTGGTATTTCTTAAGTAGGCAAGCAGAGGCTGATCCATTTTTAGGTCAATACATCATACGAGCCTTCTATGGAAACATAATCATGAATTTTATGAAACTGCCATCCTTAGAACCAAAGGTTACTAAAAGTTTTGACCTTTGAATTCCATTCCAAGAGAAGAAGGAAAAAGGAAAGTAAATTACTCACACAATCTCTAATTGTTAGGATAATCTCATTTATTAGTTTTATTTTAATGTTAAACTTGGTACGGTAATTAGTTAAAATCATTATGAATCTGTGGCGCGTAATAATTATATCAGCAATTATTGTTTTTTTAATTCTTAAAAATGGTAAAATATTTATTTTTTTTATTGGCAAAGTTATATGTTAATGGAAATTAAAATTGATGGTGGAATGAAGTTGAACATCATGTGTGGCTACTGAACTTGGTTTTGTAATATTGCGAAAGAGAGAGGAAAAAGGGGAGAGGTAAAAAAGAGAACAAAGAAATGTTAATGGGATGGCTCCCTCTTTCTTTCTCTCTCACTCACTCTCTTCGAATCACTAGTCAAATAAAGAAACAAAGTCACAACTGAAAACCAAAGAGAGAAAAGAAAAAAAGGAAATAATAATACTGTTTCTGCCCCCTTCTCCTCTCCTCTCCTCTCCTCTCCTCTTCCCTTTCCTTTCCCTCTCTCTCTCCTTGTGCCTCCCCAGTTTCCTGATAAATCTATTAACTCCTCTCTTCATGTCTTCACCTTCATATCTCTTACTGTAAGTCTCAAATCTAATCTCTCCCTTTTTCTCTATTCCTGTAGTTTTGCATTCAAGTAACTGAAAAAAACCCTAGATTTTTTTTTTGGTGGTTTTATTTTGGTTTTAATCGTTGTTTTTTGAGGTTACAATCTAGGCTTGCAAATTTAAACTGGTTTTTTTTATTTGTTTTGAATTTGTGGGTTTTCTTTAGCTGTAAGGGTTTAAAGTTTAAATCTCGGATTGGTTTTATGCTGCTTGTGTTATCTTTGTGTTCTTTGTTAATTAATTTGATGCTGATTTGCTGTTAATTATTTGTTTGCAGTAACACTGTGTAACAGGACACACACAGCTTGATCTAGTTAACCCCACCATGTTTACTCTTTAATTGAAGCAGAACATAAGAGTAAGAGATAAAAGAAAGACAGGATAAATTAAGGATTCTTAAGATTTCTGGGTTTGGTTTCAAATCCTTGGTCTTTATCACCTTTTGTTGAACTGTTGGGTGGGCATGGTGGGCAAAGAAGATGCCTCCAATAATCCCCTGGCTCCGTGCCAGCTTCCTTCTGCTGGTGGGTCCCGCAAAGTGTTCTGGCGTTCTGCATCCTGGTCCTCTTCCAGGACTGCCCTTCAAAACCCCGGAACAGAAGAGAAAGATTGTGTTATAGATCCGAATGGAAATCCTGTTGGTAACAATAGTGGTAATGGGCAAAACCGTAGGTATCCAGCTCCTTTAACTCCTAGGTCCCAACAGAATTCTAAAGCACGGTCATGCTTGCCACCGCTGCAGCCGTTATCAATTGCTCGGAGAAGTTTAGATGAGTGGCCAAAAGCTGGTTCTGATGATGTGGGAGAGTGGCCACAACCGCCTACACCTAGTGGGAACAAGAGTGGTGAAAGGTTGAAACTTGATTTGTCTTCAATTCAAAGGAACCCGGATAGGAATGGTGGGTTGGTGAAGAAGGATAGGATCGCTTTCTTTGATAAGGAATGCTCTAAAGTTGCTGAACATGTGTATCTTGGTGGGGATGCTGTTGCTAGAGACAGGGAGATTTTGAAGCAGAATGGGATTACCCACGTGTTAAATTGTGTGGGTTTTGTTTGTCCTGAGTATTTCAAGGCTGATTTTGTGTATAGGACTTTGTGGTTGCAGGATAGTCCATCGGAGGACATAACTAGTATTCTGTATGATGTTTTCGATTATTTTGAAGATGTTAGGCAACAGGGTGGGAGGGTTTTTGTTCATTGTTGCCAAGGGGTTTCACGGTCCACTTCGTTGGTGATAGCATATCTTATGTGGAGAGAGGGCCAGAGTTTTGATGATGCATTTCAATATGTGAAGGCAGCAAGAGGGATTGCAGATCCCAATATGGGTTTTGCTTGCCAGTTATTACAGTGCCAAAAGAGGGTTCATGCATTTCCTCTTAGCCCTAGTTCGCTGTTGAGGATGTATAGAATTGCCCCACACTCACCCTATGACCCTTTGCATCTTGTCCCAAGGATGCTGAATGACCCGTCACCATCTGCTCTGGATTCTAGAGGTGCCTTTATTGTTCATATACCTTCTTCAATATATGTCTGGATCGGTAAAAAATGCGAGGCTATTATGGAAAGGGATGCAAGAGGGGCGGTTTGCCAGATTGTTAGGTATGAAAGAGCTCAAGGACCAATAATAATGGTTAAAGAAGGCGAAGAACCAGCTTACTTTTGGGATGCTTTCTCTAATTATTTACCTTTGATGGATAAATCTGCTAATGGAAGAGATAGTGGGGAATCTATAAGTAAGATTTGCACTGGTGAGAGAAAAATGGATGCATATAATGTTGATTTTGAGATTTTCCAAAAAGCCATCAAGGGGGTTTTGTGCCTCCATTTGCGTCTTCAGAGAATGAACATGAAACCCATCTTCCTGCTAGAGAAAGCAGTTGGAGTGTGCTAAGGCGGAAGTTTGCCCCTGGTGATATGAAGGAGTTTGTCTCTGCACCGAAAATATTCCTTTCCAGGGTCTATTCAGATTCTATGATGATAGTGCACTCATCATCACCTTCTTCATCATCGCAGTCATCATCTTCATCCTCTTCACCTCCGTATCTCTCTCCAGATTCTCTCTCTTCTGATTCTAGCACTAGCTCAAAGTACTTTTCAGAATCCTCGCTAGATTCTCCTTCACCAGCTTCATGTTCTCTTCCAGTATCTTCAACCTTGTCTAATTTATCTAACTTGTCTCTCACATCTAAATCTTCTTCCCAACCGTTATCGAATACTTCTGGATTTCATGGTGTCAATATGTCCGAGCAATGCTCACCTGCAACTTCCTTGCCATCCCAAAAGTCTTCGCTTTCGCTTGCTGAGCGCAGAGGTAGCTTGTCAAAGTCTTTGAAGCTGCCAATGGTGACTGATAATATGAGGGTGAGTAATACACTTCCAAATTCTCTTGCCAACCAGGAAGAGGGTGCTAGGATAGATGAGAAAACTTTCTCTTGGTGTGATTCAAATAGTATAGACATTGTTTTTGAGTCCAAGGAAGATGTTAAAGGAGGTAGACATTCAATTCAACAGCGCAAGCCGAACATATCTCTGGATAGAGTAGCTAGTTCTGACTTATATCACAAGGAAGCCTCCATTGTAAATAATTTTGATGAACTGGGTAAAAATTGCCCTGTGGGAGAAGGCTCGGGGTGTTCTGTGTCGAATGGGATGGAGGAAAGTGTTGCAGCAAGTTGTAACACAATGCAACCTTTGGTATGCCGCTGGCCCAGTTTAGAAAGAATTGCAGCGTTGGGTACTAGTGATTTGGATTCTAAAGCAGCCTTTGCCATTTTAGTGCCAACTGGAGGTATAGGCAGAGATGGGACTAGGATTCTATACTTTTGGGTAGGAAAATCTTTGTTTGATGAGAAAAGCCTGATTCAGTTAGATAGGCGCAGACCATTAGCAGATTCTGAACATATTGACTGGAGTCAAGCTGGGCATCATGTTCTAACTCAAATGGGTCTTCCGAAGGATGTCACTGTTAAGGTATGAAATTATATTTGAACCTCAAGTAGCATTACCTTTTGTTTGCAACTTTTGCAATGCCCTCTGATGTGTGTTTGCTGTTAAGATTCTAATGAAAAATAGAATTGCTACTTAACTAAATCTTTTATTCATAATTTTCTTTCCTTTTTTCTTCCGTGGTTACTATATTACTTGAAATTAGGTCACCTAAACATGAAAGTTGTTGATTAATATGTACAAGGCAAAGAACATAAATAAGTAGTTCTAAGGATCCTATTGAGAATCTAAACTTGTTTAATTCTTTGTCCGGGGTACTGAGCAAGTGGCAAGACCAATGAATCTCATACAATTAGATCCTTTTTTTCCCTTCTCTTGTGCCATTGGGGCTTATCCTATATTCTTTGTGTGTGCCTTAATGGTGCCTATCCTGGATTAACTCAATTATTTACTATAAAGAGTTTGCAAATATTTGAATGTGGACATATTAGAGCAATAAGAGTGTAAGGTTGTGTTGATTCATGAGTCAAGAAATTTTACTTTTTTGATGAAACTTAGGAAGAACAGATGGAAATATGTGCGGAATGCTTTTAAGCACATGGGAAAATCTCAATGAATTTTTGATTTCCTTTTCCTTTGGTTTATACTTCTATTGAAGCTTCTTGTCTTTGCCTTGGGATCACCTACTTTTATGTTCGATGTGTTATCCCAGTTGCTCAAGTTGGTGGTGGTTTACTGTTTCTGCAACTCCATTTTTTTTTTCATGCTCTTTTCCTCTGCCAACCATTGTTAGCATTCTAACCCTGCATTGGGGCCAAAGTTTATTACTTATTTTCTTGGATCTGAGACAGCAGAACCATGCTAATAGTTTTGCATCATAACTGCTTGTTATTGCCAGGTGGTCAAAGAAGATGAAGAACCAGCAGAATTGCTTGCGTTGTTGAGTGCATTGTAGCAACACTGGAAAATGGAGGATTCTTTAATGCAGTAGTTTAAACCTTCTTCCAATTTCCTCAGCTGCCCTAATTTTCAACACAAGCATTAAGACATTAAAAACAATTCTCGCAGCAAAACCAGTGAGGTAATTAATGACCTTCTGTGAACTCAAAAACTAGCAAGCTTCTCTGAGTTATTATGTTTTATGCGGTTCTGCAATATGTATCATTTTGGCTAGACCTCATACTGTTAGCTAATAAATGACTTTTGTGACTTCCAGTTGAAATAAAAACTGTGTGTTACTTGAGCTCTAACAATCCCTTGTTTGCTTATGATGTGTCAGGTTGTTAGATGTTAGTTTGATCTGGTATGTGTTTGTCTAGCCTTGACCGTTTTCTGGGAGGAAGGAAACAAGTTATTTTGGCCACTGTTTAGTTGATTCTGCCAGCTTCAGGAATTTTTTTCCCTGTTTTCCCTTGCACTTATTGGAAACTCAAATTTTGGGCAAATTAAGTTTGTTGCTTTGCCCATCGTTTAACAGCTAAACATACGTTTCCCTTTAGCAGCTATCCTCTCTGTGTGGAGTTTGCTTCAGTTTTGATCATTAGTAATTATGCAGCGGACATCTTTAATGGTGTAAGCCAGCAGTGAAGTAAGACACCGTGTGGATACTGACCTTTGACGCCTAGGATATTAAAAATTTGCAGAATTGCTCAACTTCAATTTGAGCCATTTCTTTAATTTCCTCTTTCCCTTGATGGAGTTGGTAGTTTAATGCAAGTGTGTCCACCACTAGGTCTGCCAAAGGAGAACTTTTGCAGCCCCTAAGTAACTTCAAATCGGATAAACTATTCTGCTACAAGTGGAGGGAAATATTAGAATCTTAACTTGAGCATGCTTTGTCTGAATCTGCACATTTTTGTTTATCACAAACAATCCAAGTATCATCCCTTTTTTTTTTTCCTTCTTCTTCTGAGTCATTGTTTTTTCATATTGTTTGCAGGTGGCTGCTTTCTAAGCTTCTTTGTGGCTATTCACCTGGTTGTACAGTGCTGTAACACCTCATAACCGAATCATTTTGTCGACCAATTGAATGTTCATGTATATTCAAATATTACCAGAAACAGATTCCTGGAAGGCTATTTCAGGCAAAATAGATACATTTAAATTTCTCTTCTGAGTTTAATTTCCTTTTCTACTTAGAATTTCATTTTGTTTAGATGGAAAGGTATGATTTGTCCATATTTGTTACACATGCCGGTTAAAACTAGTCATCCTTCTGTTACACCGACTGATGGCTCTCAGGTTGGGTGGGCAGACTTATCTCACACGGGCATCTGGAATAGAGAGTATGCATGGTAAGTTGCTGGAAGGAGTAGCAATTATAACCTTAATCAACCACATTTGGCTTTTGCATTGCATTGATAAATAAGTGTTGTTGACCCAATACTTTTTTAAATTAGGGAATATATTCTGATAAAAACTTTTGGTTTTGAATTTTGTCATCTTTGCTGCTTTGGTTGCCTCGGACCATAAGAGAGTAGGGATGATGGCAATGGGGCAGGGCAGGAATTGCCATCCATGTCCCTACCCCGTGCCCCGTTCGGGGCATATTTTGTGTACCATCTCTGCTCCAAACGGAGCAGGGGTGGGGATGGCCATTCCTGTTTCTGTCCCGTGTCTTATTTGGGACGTATTTTGCGAACCATCTTCGCCCCAAACAGAGATGCATCATCGTGTTGTTTTTGTGAACCCAACGCAGCATGTTTTCATATGTGCTCCGTAGAATTATGTTGACATAGACGCAGAGTTGTAGGCCATAGCGGCTCTCTTTTATTTATTTTCCTTATCTTAATGTCTCTTTCATGAATGTTTCTTATTTTTATTTGTCAATGTTGATACAATGGATAAACACAAGCAACCAAATAATTAAGCCGTTTTTGTAGTTATCTGGTCCATCGTCAACAAAATTTGTTGTCATATTAATCCTGTGCAAGTTGATAAGGCCCCATGGAGAAGGTTCGCATTTTGTTTCCCTGATGGATTATTGATAGGGACTTTCATCTCTCCTGTTCATTCAACCTGTCATCTTTGCCATTCCCCTTTGAGCTCGCAGAAAATCACTGAACTAAGTGCCCGTTAAATTGTTAATATCATCTTGGTTTCTCTTCTCTCGCTAATGAATTTATCTTATATTTGAGGGGTAGAAAAAAAGACGGGAGAGAGAAAAATGTGAACTTAACTGAGAGAGGCCATTTTTTTTTGCTACCAACCCTGTTTTGGACATGTGATGTGACCCTTTTGACCGAGGCAAAATGTACAAAAATCCAACAATTCAAGGATGTTTTAGTCCGCAAAGTTGAATAAGATAAACTTGTCAGATTTTCAACTACGAAGATGGGCACGACATATTTACAGTAAGTACGAGACACTAACAAGCAATAATGTAGGAGATAGTCAAAGATAATACTATTATCAATTGGAATATGTCAAGTGATAAATAATGGATCCCTATTGTTGATTCCCGCAGGTCCTAGAGTTGTACAACTACTTTCACATCCCACGCGCTGCGAGTAATCTTATAAAATCTGTATTAATATTTCAATTAATTTTGAAACTTTAAGGAAAGAATATCAAAATCAATCACTATTAATTTTGAATTTTTTTATTAAATATATAAATTGTAGTATTTAATATTATGTGTATTTTTTTTTGAGTTTAAATAAATTTTATGGATATGTACGATTTTAATAAATAAAGCAATAAATATGTAATTAATTATTGATTTCAGTTAAGAAAAATCTAATTAAAAGAGTCAATAGTTGGAAGGAAACAAGGATCCACGTGAAAGAGTGATCTATATTAGAAGGATGTTTAATTTGAAGTAATGAATCCATGACTATTGATTAAAAAAAGCCCATCGTGTTCTACTTAATAGTTCATTTTTTTTTATATTGATATAGTTATGAACATTAATTTCTATCATTTGAAATCTAATTATAAATTAATATAGAAAATGATAAGGTCAAGCGGTAAATTATTTTATGCCTTTGTGGTACTTTAAAAAAAAAAAAAATAGAGAATCACATTTTTTTAGATATGTTGAAGAATAATGAACGATTTTAAGCGAGATATATTCAGTCGAAAAAAATATAAATTAAATGATAATAAGTTACCCACTATTGAATTTTTATTTTTTAGATCTTTTTTCCCTTCTAAATGTCAATTTATTTGTAGTGCCGATATTTTCATCAATATAAAAATATTGGTGTTATATCAAATATGAAAAATATAAAACCTAGATAGATTAATTATTAACTATCAAACCTCTATTATTATTATTAAAAAATATATAAGTAATCATTATTTGTTTTAGATTGCATGGAGAATCATTATTATCTATAATAATGATTACTTTTGATAATAACTTTTTAAAGATAAAAAAAATGTCAAAATTATTAAAATAGTCATCATTTTCTTATGAAGTTGCATGAAAAACTTAAAAAATAACCATTAATTATTAGAGGAAAGATGATTTTGAGAAAATAGCAAAATATGAAAAAATAAAAGTGTATATACGTGTGTGTGTAAGAAAGTTGGGCCAAGATGGGAGCTAGGCCTGCGAACATGGGCTTCAGATAACCAGGTCCACGTGACCTAGAAACTCAAACAAAAAACAGAAAAAAAAAATGGCAGGCAACCTGTGATCCGTAAAGACTGATGTGTCATTTTATATGCAACTTTCGACGACCATTTAATCATCTCCAAACTCAATCTCTCCATTATTTTTATCTTCGAAAATTACAAAATTATTTTAGCCTAGGAGCACATTTCAATTCACCCTAGGAACTTCCAAAAAAAAATCAATTCTAAAAATCCAATAATTTTTTTATCAGATCTTGATCTTTTTTGCCAACAAACTTTTCTCATAAATACAAACACATAAATACCAAGATTTTGGATTAAATGGCTGGAATGGATCTCTTTAGAGTCCTCTCTCTTGCCTTCTCTCTCTTCTGTTCTCGTTCTCTCTTTACATCGAGAGACATAAATGCATAACAAATGAAGTTTAGAGACATTCAAAAAAGATCTTGAAAGTTAAGGACTACAGTGAATATATATTTTCCAAAATAAAAAAAAACACTTAAATTTATTGATAAAAACCACACCGTTTTATGCCAAAACAACATTATTTTAACCCTTGATTAACAATATATAACAATATCCAATCCATATTGCAACATGGTCTGATGTTACGATATATCTACAGTAAAACACTGTCGTTTTTCGGTTTCTTTTGTTGATACTATCACCATGGTGTATTGTTAAAAGAATAAACATCCTAGACTTTCTCCGATCTTTCAACAGCGTGTTGGTCATTTTTTTCTTTTTGGTTGCATGCGAATGCTATCTTCAGCTAGATTATAGTTTACCTAAGACTAAATTATTTCCTCCAATGATTTAAAAGAATAATAACTAATAGTTACTTTACAGAAAAGAAATAGAAAAAAAAAAAAACCAAACAAAAAGAGAGAGAAAAACACAAGAAAGGATTAAAAAAAAAATTGAGAACCTGGGTGTAGATATTTTTATTAATTTTGATGGGTTGGATGCCTTTTTATTTTTATTTTTTTTAATTCTTGTATCTATCTTTTGTCAAAAATAGGTTAATTCATTCAAATTTTAAGAGAGAATTACAAGAAAAACCTTGTCAAAAAATTTTCTACCTAAGAAATTCATCAATTTATTTATAAATATAAAAAATTAAAATCATATTTTTTTTATCAAAATAATTAATAGTTAACTCCTAATTTAATACCGAGTTAATTATGGAGTGTTTTGATAATATTATTATGAAAGAAAAGGAAATAATAATAAAATTGAAGAGAAGGATGATAGAAAAATAAATTCACTATAAGACAATTTCTAATAATTTCTCAATCTCTACAAAATATTTGTACATAAATTAATGAACAATTAAACTTATTTATAGGCTTAAAGATCAAAAAGAAAATTTAAAAGGATTATGAACAATTAAAAGATGCATAAATAATTGTATAAATTGCATCACCTATGAATAGTGGAGAATATGAAATGAACATTTATTATTTTATAATATATATATTATTTTAGATATGATAATTAAAAAAATTGAATTTAAGTGAAAATATTAATGGGTTCATAAATAATTTTTTTCTTTATATATGTATCTCTGTTTAAATTAAGTTTACCAAATAACTATTATTAGTTACTTTTAAAATTTCTGTCATGGAGTAACTATAGATAACAACTTTTGAGTTACTCTAAAATTTTTGGTATTGTTTTAGAAAATGAAGAATATAGCAAATTTTATTGACCACCGAGCAACCTTCAATGGGTTTTAATGAGGTGTCAGTCTGGAAACGGAATATTTATGAAAATATTATAATGGGTCTTTTTGTAGTAATGGGATCAGGCCGAGAGATATTTTTTCTTCTTTTTTTTTTTAAAAAAATTATTTTTATATTTTTCATTAAAATATACGGAAAAGTAGCGACGAATAATGTACTCTGGCTAGCATTCAACCCTTTTTCCGGGATTATGATCTCTCCTTTATTATGAGTTACTCCTCCATTATCTTTGTCCTTCAAGTTTAGAGCCAGACTCCTCAATTCACTTGAAAGCATCAGGTACATTAGACTCCCTCCCTGCTTGTGTATATCTCTGTAACGTATGCGGTCTCTGATTGAGCTGATCATCTTATCAAGCATCAGCTACTAAGTATTCATCTCTTAAGAGGGTTTTTCTTTATTTCTTTATGTTCTTCTCCCTACAATTTTTTTTTTTTTTTGTGGCTTTCTTTACTTTTTTTTTTTTTTTTATTATTATTTAATGTTTACACTCACAAACACTCGTAAAGAGGGTTTATGTCTTTTTTTTACGTCTTGTGATCTCTTCTTCTGTTTATGTCGAAGGAAAAAAGTTCTTTTTTTTTTGTTTAATGTTTTAAGATTTCCCCACGTCAGAAACTTCTCGTGGAAAAAGACAACAGCAACAATGTTGTGAGACAAAACATCCCAATTTTTTGTTTTTATAAAGTAAAATGATGACATGATGATCACTAAATTAATACTATCAATGACAATGGGCTAACAAACCGCATGGATCAATATAAAATGTGTCTTAGTCGATTTGTGTCTTGGACAGCGCTAGTTTAGCAAGTAGTTTATGATAGTCAGTCAAAATGTTAACACCTTTTCCTGTCTTTCTTGTTATAGAAGAGGAAAGTGGTTTTGAAGATGGGTTACCATACTTGCCCATAATTTTAAAGTTTTAGGGGCTTAACTTTATTTACCCTTCTTTTTGAGATCCAAAACCGATGTCTGAAAATGCAGCTAAAGCAATGCTTTGTGCTGAAATTACTTTATAAACTTATAACTGTTAGGAGCTAAAGCAATACAATTACATGTTTCTTTTGCAGTATTGACAAATGACAGAACCAGATACAAAATTGAGCTTGAAGCTATTGGTCGACAAGAAAGCAAACAAAGTTCTTTTTGCAGAAGCTGGAAAAGATTTCGTGGATTTTCTGTTCAACCTCCTTTCTCTGCCCGTGGGTGCTGTGATTAGGCTTATAACAAATTCAGCCATGGTTGGCTGCGTCGGAAATCTTTATCAGAGCATTGAAAGCCTCAATCAAACTTACGTGCAGCCTGATCAAAATAAGGATTTACTTTTGAAGCCCCGTGTACCAAACCATGTTGCTAATGTGCCTCTCTTGCTGCCTGATACTAATCCGGCCGAGAGAAAGTTGTACAATTGTATTAACGCACACCGTTGTGTCACAGATCGTAAGGACACCATTTGTGCTCAGTGCAGAAATCCAATGTGTCATGATGTGCAGTTTGTTGGTAAGAATAGTTTTACTGCTGGTTCAGCTAGTGAGGGGGGATATGTGAAGGGATTGGTTACGTACATGGTGACCGATGATTTATCTGTGTCACCAATGTCAATGATATCTGGTGTTGCTCTGCTAAACAAGTTCAGTGTTAAGGATTTTGGTGCACTTGAGGAAAGGATGGCTGAGTTTGGGATTAATGAGGTAAGAATTTGGGGTCTAAATTTCGTTTATTTTTAAAGTTGGTTGTTAACAGCATGAAACTTTGTCTAGACCTCTGATCTTAACAATAGTGGCTCTGCAATTTATGTATTTGTAAAGTGGAGATTACTTTAGTTTTTGCATCTTGTAGGGTCTGGAATTGTTGAAGGCTTCTCTGCAGTCAAAGGCAGCTCTTACTACAGTCTTCCTTTCAAAGCAGGATGTCAAGGTGGATGCAGCGTCGGATTGAAATTAAATTGATGTGGGGGTCTTTTTTTAAACTCTAATTTACTCTTGCTTGAAGTTATATCATGTTCTGATCCCCTCTATGACGATTAGAGTATGCACATTTTGTTTTGGTGCTGCCCTGGTTGTTAGGTTACGATGAAATCTGTCATTAAATGATAAACGGCGAGGATGGTTCTATTTTTATTGTTGCTTTATGTGGATGATGGCAGGATAATGAAGTTAATTACCCTTTGTTTTCCCTTTGTTCTTTCTAAATACATATCTTTTTGGTATCTTCCCATTGACACTTTTTTTTGTGTAAGCATATTTTCATACCAACCAATGCATCTCTTCGTGTCCCATTCACCCCTGCTGTTTTCCAACAGTGTCAATAAGCTGTCAGCCAATTGGAAAATTGTTGTTCTCATTTTCTCGAGATATGTAGTCTTACCGGTTGCTTGGTTCGGTGAAAACCAAGGTTTAATTTTCATTACTCATACATAATCAGGCATAACTATTCGTAGTATCAGGTTTGAGCTGGTTTGACTTAAAATGCAATCCACCAAAAATAAGGTGTATTCTACCATTGATTTAATTCAAAAAATAATAGATTTAGAGTTGGTTGATGCAAAAATTGAACGAAAATACCCCATTGCCTATAAATATTTTTTTTTAAAAAAAAACTAAAGATTCTATGATAGTTCAAGCGCACACGAATCATGATCCTTTCCCTGCCAGTTTCCTTGTACCTGCTCATCATATCTATCTGCTAAAAATCCTTATGTTAAATTGGAAGGAAGGATTCATTCGTACTGTATAAGTTGATGACCAAATCATTGCAAGTTCTATAGGCTGGTTAGGATAGTGTACTGCATTTATCGAAGAGCAGATCATTGGATCTGATCACCAAATCAGGTGTGCAATTATTTCAGTGCGTGTAACTTCTTTTTTCCCCCACAGGAGTATGAAACAGAATACATCAATGAAGAGTATTGAATAATAAATGAAATTCAATAGTGCACACCATAATATTCACTTCAAGCTTTCCTCTTCACCATGAGGCGAATCCTTTCTTGTTCCAGTTGCTGCTTTGTATATCCAGATAGATGCTTCAACAAAATTCTTCAAGAACCTTATGTTTGTCATTAGAGTTTAGAGCCATGCTCCTTTCTTCAGTTGAGAGCATCAGGTACATTAGACTCCCTCCCTGCTTGTGTATATATCTGTAATGTATGCGGTCTCTGTTTAGTTTATCATCCAATCAAGCACCAGCTTCTCAAGTATTCATCTCTGAAGAGGAAATTTTTATTTCTTTATGGTCGTCTCTTTTTTCCCCTTAGAGTTGTGATCTCTTCTTCTGTTTATGTTGAAGAGAAAAAAATGAATTTTTTATTATTTATCTTTAAGAAATGAAACACATTTTATATTGATACATGCGTTTTGTTAGATCATCGTCATTGATAGTATTGATTTAGCGATTTCATGTCATCAATTTTACTCCTAAAAACAAAAATTGGAATGTTCTTTCTTACAACATTGTTGATGTTGTCTATTTTCCATGAGAAATTTCTGACGTTGGGAAATTTTTGGAATCAAGTTGTGTCTTGGAGACATTTAGTTTAGCAAGTAGTTTTACAATAGTCAGTCAAAATGTTGACGACTTTTCCTGTTTTTCGTGTTATACAAGAGGAAAGTGGTTTTGAGATGGGTTACCATACATGCCCATGATTTTAAAGCTTGAGTGGCTTAACTTTCTTTGCGCTTCTTTTTGATATCCAAAACGGATGTCTGAAAATGCATCTAAAAGCAATGCTTTGTGCCGAAATTTATAAACTTATAACTGTTAGGAGCTAAAGCAATACAACTGCATGTTTTCTTTTTCAGTATTGACAAATGACAGAAACAGATGCCAAATTGAGCTTGAAGCTATTGGTCGACAAGAAAGCAAACAAAGTTGGAAAAGATTTCGTGGATTTTCTGTTCAACCTCCTTTCTTTGCCTGTGGATGCTGTGGTTAGGCTTATAACAAATGCAACCATGGTTGGTTGCGTCGGAAATCTTTGTCAGAGCATTGAAGACCTGAATCCAACTTACATGCAGCCTCATCAAAATAAGGATTTACTTTCGAAGCCCCATGTACCAAAACCATGTTGCTAATGTGCCTCTCTTGCTGCCTGATACTAATTAATCTGGCCGAGAGAAAGTTGTACATTTGTAATAACGGGCACCCGTGTGTCACAGACTGTAAAGGCACCATTTGAGGTCAATACAGCCACACAATGTGTCATGATGTGCAGTTTATTGGTAAGAATAGTTTTACTGCTGGTTCAGCTAGCGAGTGTCAAGGGATTGGTTACATACATGGTGACTGATGATTTATCAGTGTCACCAATGTCAATGATATCTGGTGTGAATCTGCTGAACAAATTCAATTTTAAGGATTTTGGTGCACTTGAGGAAAGGATGGTTGAGTTTGGGATTAATGAGGTAAAAATTGGAGCTCTGAATTTCGTATGTTTTTAAAGGAGGGCTTCTCACCTCCGGGCCTCTGGCTTCTTTTCTTTTTCTTTTTTTTCCATTATCTTTTTTGACAATGGTTTAATTATATTATGTTGCTTTCCATCGCTTTTCTTTCATGTATTTCAGGGTATTGAATTGTTGAAGGCTTCTCTTTTGTCAAAGGATGCTCTTGCTGCTTTTTTACTTCCAAAGCAGGTCGAGATTGTAGGGCATCAAATTTTTTTTTTTTTTTGGGCACCATTGATGAAGGACTCCACCTACGAGAAATCACATTCCTTTGGATAGAGAATATAAGAATTTTATTTTTTATTTTTTTTAACTAAAATGCTCTCAATATTAATATTAAATGGACTAACATATCATCATCATTATTATTATGAAAAGTTTTTTATTTTTTGATACTAAAATCTTTTTTTATTTATCTATTCATTCGTGAGAAAGTACATTTTATGTAAGTTTTTAGCAAATAAATTAATTGACTTGGTAGCTGTAATTAATGTAATATGCATGTGTAGGACATAATTATTTAATAAATAAAAATCATCATAGCGCCAAATTACATGCTTTAAACTTTGGGAATAAAACAATAGATTTGTTTGATATTTTCATGAATTTCTAGTATAAAACAAACACAATAAAGATATATCACTAAGAATTTTTATTTTCAATTAAACACAAAAAAAAAAAATCATATTTCTAACTATTATATTCTCAACAATTACATGATTTAAAAAACATATAAGAATTCACATACTAAACACTCTTTAATTCTTTGAAAAGTTAAGTGCAAGCAATGGAAATCCTAAACAAGTGCTACACACGAGCATCACCACCAGTATTACGCACTTAGCTTCTCCCAAGTTTAGCACCGTCAATGCAATAAGTTAATGGTCACCATTGGATGTGACCAAAAGAAACAAAAACTTTAGGACTAAACAGAAGTTCCTTTAAACACTTTAGTATATATTTTAAAATTTCTCCTCCTGCACCATACTTAGCCTTGAAGTCTGCCTGCTGCATACTTAGCCTTGAAGCCTTCCAGTGCTTCCATTAAATCCTCATGCTGTGAAGCCTCCTGATGGATCATTTCCTCTCTATATATTGATAGCTTTGCTTTCAAGTCGTCAAGAAACCTAAAGCCAACTTGGTAGCGATCATTAAACTAGCTAACAATGTCACCTTCCAAATTGAACTTGAAGCTTCTTGTAGATGCAAAGCGCAACAAAGTTGTCTTTGCTGAAGCAGGTAAAGACTTTGTCGATTTCCTTCTGAACCTGCTTGCTTTGCCTGTGGGTACTGTCACTCGGCTTCTCTCAAAATCAACAATGGTTGGCTGCATAGCAAATCTCTATGACAGCCTTGAAAAGCTGGACGGATCTTATCTGCAGCCTAACCAAAATAAGGATTCACTTTTAAAACCAACAGTACCAACCCAAGTCACCAATCCAAATTTCTTGCTTGCTGAAAAGCCTGAAGACCAGAAGCTATACTTTTGCCAAAGCCATCCAGGGTATGTGTCAGATATTCGTAACTCTGTTTGTAGTAACTGCAGATCACAAGGCTATGGTGATCGCGACTTGAATCAAGAAGTGAAATTTGTTGTTACAAATTGTTCCACCTCTACAGATAGATCAACCAGTGATCAGGGAGGTTATGTGAAGGGTTTGGTCGCATACATGGTGACAGATGATTTGTCAGTTTCTCCAATGTCGATGGTGTCTGGTGTTGGTCTGCTAAACAAACTCAATATTAAGGATTTTAGTGTTCTTAAGGAAAGGGTTGTTGAGTTTGGGATTAGTCAGGTAATCATTCTCCCCCTGTCATTATTTTTTGCAAGATTTTTTACCTTTTAATTATTATCGTTTTGCAATGGTTAATATGATGTGTCTTACTTTTATGTGATTTAGGGTGTGGAATTGTTGAAGGCTTCTCTTTTGTCAAATAATGCGTTGACTGCTGTTTTTCTTCTCAATCAGGAGGTCAGAGATGCTGAACCATCAAAATAGATATTTAATTGTTGTAAAATGAGACTTGTTGGTTTACTTTTTGGATTACTTGAAAAAACTACCTCGAATTGTTTTAAATGAAATATATCATATGGGAACTTGTCCTTGTGTAAGTATTTTATATTAAACCTATAAACTTATTAAATGAAAAATATTTCGCTAGTAAAATACAAAGTAAATGTCCTTAGTTGCTTTTTGAAATCACCGTTTCTAATTTTTTTTTTATTAAAATTCATTTTATCCAAGCAAACTATTTGCTAATACTTTTATTTTTCTTATTATTTATTTACAGGAACCCAACTTTGGAATTAACAATGATGATGATTTTGCTATGAACGGCGATGACAATGATGGTGATGTCGACGACCACAACTGTTAGTCAAAGATTTGAAAGAAATTGAATGGCATGGATGGACTTTTTTTTTTTTTTTTTTTTGGCTGGTGAATGCAATGAGCTAAGGGAACATCGAGATATGCGTTATAGATTGATTTTTTTACTCTCTTTTATGTTTGGATTTGATTTTCTTCTCTTTATACACAAAATTTGATGTTCGGGTTTGGGATAAAGTCCTACTAGTTTAGCAAGTAGTTTCTCCATGGTCAGGCAGAACAATCGCTCTATGATTTTCAAGGCCTTTTTCTCTTATGCAGATAAATTCAGGAGATGAAAATGAGTTGGAAAAGTTATTAATTAGGAACTGTTTCTATGAAATAAATGAAAGGAAAAACAGAATACTTTGGATAACACATGCCCACAATTTCCAAATTAATCTTATTGGCTTAGCCTTTTTTACCATTTCCAATTTCTAATCTAACCGGCATCATAGTTTTGAAGTTTTAAATTGTAGATTGGATTGAAAAAACCCTAGCGATGATAGGTTGTAGTATTTTTTGATAGTAAAATAATTATTGATGTTGTGAATGCATTAAAATGCAAAGATTGAAATACATGGTTTTTTTTTTTTTTTTTCTAAACCAAATTTACCGTAAAAAACCATCATTTAAAAATGGCTGAAATGGAGCTTGATATGGTTTTCTCTCTCTTCGGTTCTCGCTCTATCTTTACATCGAAGGACATAAATGTATTACAAATGAAGTTTAGAGACATTTAAAAATGATCTTGAAATCTAAGGACTACAATGAATATATATTTTCAAAAAAATCACTTAAATTTATTGATAAAATGAGACCGTTTTATGCAAAAAACGACATTGTTTGACTCTTGATTAACAATGTATAACATTGTTCAATTCATATCCATATTGCAACTGAGTCTGATGTTACAATATATATACAGTAAAACACCATCATTTTTTGTTTCTTTTGTTAATACTATCATCATGTGTATTGTTAAAAGCATAAACATTCTAGACTTTCTCTAATCTTTCAACGTGCTGGTCTTTTTTCTCTTTTTGGTTGCACGCTAATGCTATCTTTCAGCTACTTTATAGTTTAACTAAGACTAAATTATTTCCCTGAATGATTTAAAAGAATAATTTAATGCATAGAAAAGAAATAGACAAAAAAAAAAGAGAGAAAAACACAAGAGAGATTTAAAAAAAAAAAATGTGAACCTATGTGTAGATATTTTTATTAATTTTGGAGGACTGGATGTAATTTTTTATTTTATTTTTATATCTATCTCTCGTCAAAATAGGTTATTCATTAAAATTTTAAAAGAGAATTATATAAAAACTCTCTAAAAAATTGGTATTAAAATAACAGATTTAGTTTCTATTGATTAAAAAACTGACAGGAAAAATACTCTATTATATATAAATATTAAAAAAAAATTCTAAAGCTTCAATGATAGTTAAATCGCAAACGAATCATGATCCTTTGCTTGCCAATTTCCTTGTATCTCCTCATCATATCCATCTAAGCCCCTTAGCTTTTCTATCTGCTAAAAATGTTTATGTTAAATTGGAAGGATTCAATATTCATACTGTATAAGTTGATGACCAAATCATTTCAAGTTCTTTAGGCTGGTTAGATAGTGTCCCGCATTTATCGAAGTGCAGATCATTGGATCTGACCACCAAATCAGGTGTGCAATTATTTCAGTGCGTGTATTTTTTCTTTCCTATTTTCCCACAAGAGTATGAAACAGGATACATGCATAAGGAGTAGTGAATAATAAATGAAATTCAATAATGCATACCATAATATTCATTTCAACCTTTCCTCTTCACCATGAGGCGAATCCTTTCTCGTTTCAGTTGCTGCTATATATACAGATAGATGCTTCAACAAAATTCTTCAAGATCCTTATATTTGTCATTAGAGTTTAGAGCCATACTCCTCTCTTCAGTTGAGAGCATCAGGTACATTAGACTCCCTTCCTGCTTGTGTATATATCTGTAATGTATGCGGTCTCTGTTTAGTTTATCATCGAATCAAGCATCTTAAGTATTCATCTCTGAAGAGGGAATTCTTTATTTCTATATGCTCTTCTCTTTTTTCCCCTTGAGTTGTTCTCTTCTTCTGTTTATGCTGAAGAGAAAAAAATTTAACTTTTTTTATTTGTGTTTAAGAAATGAAACACATTTTATGTCGACACATGCGTTTTGTTAGATCATTGTCATTGAAAGTGTTAATTTAGTGATCTTCATGTCATCAGTTTTACTTTAAAAAAACAAATTTGGGATGTTTTGTCTCAACAGTGTTGCTGCTGTCTTTTTCCATGAGAAGGTTCTGACGTGGCGAAATTTTTGTACTCGAGTTGTGTCTTGAGTACAGCTAATTTAGTTAGTAGCTTACAATAGTCAGTCAAAATGTTGACTCCTTTTCCTTTTTTTTTTTTTTTTCTTTTGTTATAGAAGAGGAAAGTGTTTTGAAGGTGGGTTACCATACATGCCCATAATTTTAAAGTTTGAGTGGCTTTAACTTTCTTTACGCTTCTTTTTGAGATCCAAAACAGATGCCTGAAAATGGAGCTAAAGCAATGCTTTGTGCTGGAATTACTTTATAAAATTATAACTGTTAGGAGTTAAAGCAATACAATTGAATGTTTTCTTTTGCAGTATTGACAAATGACAATAACTGATGCCAAATTGAGCTTGAAGCTATTGGTCGACAAGAAAGCAAACAAAGTTGGAAAAGATTTCGTGGATTTTCTGTTCAACCTCCTTTCTTTGCCAGTGGGTGCTGTGATTAGGCTTATAATGGTTGGCTGCATCAGAAATCTTTATCAGAGCATTGAAGACCTGAATCCAACTTAGAACTTACATGCAGCCTCATCAAAATAGGGATTTACTTTTGAAGCCCTATGTACCAAACCATGTTGCTAATGTGCCTCTCTTGCTGCCTGATACTAATCTGGCCGAGAGAAAGTTGCTACAGCTGGTTCAGCTAGTGAGGGAGGATATTTGAAGGGATTGGTTACATAAATGGTGACTGGTGATTTATCTGTGTCGCCATTGTCGATGATAACTGTATAACTCTTTAGAGTTGTGTGAAGGAAAGCATAGTTTGTCTATTTACATTGACAGATTTATATACAAATTATAATGTGTAACGTCCGAATGCAGATAAGGAATTAGTATAATTTACATTATACACAATCACTATTGGGAGTGATATTAGGAGAAACTTTCTCATTGTTCTCAATCTTAGGAGTGATATCAGTAGAAACATTCTAGCTCATTCCCGTGAAACAAGGAATGTGATGCATTTCCAAAATGTTGGAAATCACGTTTCTCTGGATGGAGAATATTAGAATTTTAATTTTTTGACTAAAATGCTCCCATTATTAATATTAAACAGACTAACATATCTTTATTATTATTATTATTACTATTATTGCTATTATCATTATTATTCAAAGTTTTGATGCTAAAAACTTTATTGATTTTTTTATTCATTTGTGAGAAGTACATGTTATGTAATTTTTTAAGCAAATAAATTAATCGACTTGGTAGTTGTAATTAATGTAATATGCATGTGTTTCTGCGCATAATTATTTAATAAAAATATTATCACAGTAACAAATTACTTGCCTTGAACTAATTTGTGGATAAAATAATAAATTTATTTGATATTTTCATGAATTTTCTAGTATAAAACAAACACAATAAAGACATGTCACTAAGAATTTTTATTTTCAGTTAAAAAAAAAAATCATATTTCTAACAATTATATTCTTAACAATTACATTATTTAAAAAAACATCTAAGAATTCACAGACTAAACTCTCTTTAATTCTTTGAAAAGTTAAGTGCAAGTAATGGACATCCTAAACAAGTGCTACACACGATCACCACCACCAGGATTCCGCACTTAGCTTGTACCAGCTTTAGCACCGTCCATACAAAAAGTTAATGGTCACCATTGAATATGACCAAATTAAACAAACACTTTAGGACTAGACAGAAGTTCCTTAAAACACTTCAGTATTTTAAAGTTTCACCTCCTGCGCCATACTCAGCCTTGAAGTCTTCCTGCTGCATACTTAGCCTTGAAGCCTTCCAGTGCTTCCATTAAATCCTCATGCTTTGAAGCCTCCTGATAGAATCATTTCCTCTCTATATATTGATAGCTTTGCTTTCGAGTCGTCAAGAAACCTAAAGCCAACTTGGCAGCGATCATTAAACTAGCTAACAATGTCAACCTCCAAAATGAACTTGAAGCTTCTTGTTGATGCAAAGCGCAACAAAGTTGTCTTTGCTGAAGCAGGGAAAGACTTCGTTGATTTCCTTCTGAACCTGCTTGTTTTGCCTGTGGGTACTGTCATTCGGCTCCTCCAAAAATCAACAACGTCGGTAGGCTGCATAGCAAATCTTTATTACAGCCTTGAAAAGCTGAATGAATCCTATCTGCAGCCTAACCAAAACAAGGATTCACTTTTAAAACCAACCATACCAGCCCAAGTCACCAATCCAAATATCTTGATTCCTGGCACAAATAAAAAACCTGAAGACCGTAAGCTATTCTATTGCCCAGGCCATCCCAGGTATGTGTCCGATATTCAGAACTCTGTTTGCGGTCACTGCACATCACGACGCAATCGCGAAGTGAAATTTGTAGATACAAATTGTTCCACCCCAACAGATAAACCAAACTGTGATCAGAGAGGGTATGTGAAGGATTTGGTTACATACATAGTGGAAGATGATCTGTCAGTGTCTCCAATGTCAATGATAGCCGGTGTTGATCTGCTAAACAAGTTCAATACTACGGATTGTAGTGTTCTTGAGGAAAGGGTTGTCGAGTTTGGGATTAGTCAGGCAATAATTCTCACCTCTGCCATTATTTCTTTCATTTTAACGAGATTATTCTTTTAATTGTTATCTTTATACAATGGCTTACTTATATATCATTTAGGGTCTGGAATTGTTGAAGGCTTCTCTTTTGTCAAAAGGTGCTTTGACTGCTGTTTTTCTTCTAAATCAGAAGGTCAGAGATGCTGAACCATCAAAACGGAAATTAAATTGATTCGGGTCTTCAATTTTTTGTATTGACTATCTAGTTGGAAATTAGTTTTTATTTATTTTCTCTTCGATGTTTGCGAATTCTAATTTTGGTTTCGGACTGAACGTCTCATCTTTCCCATGAAATATGCTTTGCTTTGTCATTAAACTTTTTGAGAAATAATAATATGAGGATTCGGAATGCTTTCCTTCCTCTCCAGGCAAATTATTTTATTATATCAACTAATATAAGGGAAAAGGATATAGATATAGATGAGATAGATTTAGTTGTAAAATGGGATTTGTTGGTTTACTCTTTGGATTGCTAGATAAAACTACCTCGATTTATTGTCTGCAGTGGACCGTGCCTGAACCAAAAGATAAAGAGGTTCAGATACTCGGACGATTTTTTCCTGATCCTCACACTTGATTCTTCCAGTGCTCATCATGACCTTTCATCTTCCACCCGCCAGGTAACATATGATTATACACACAAGTCTTTAAATGAAATATATCATATGGAAATTTGTCCTTGTGTAAGTATTTTATAATTAATCTGTAAACTTATTATATGTAAAATATTTCAATGATAAAAATACGAAGTGAATGTCCTTAATTAGTTGCTGTTGTTTGAAATCACCGTCTCTAATTTTTTATTCAAATTCATTTGATAAACTATTTGCTAATTCTTTTGTTATTCTCGTTATTTATTAACAGGTACGAGGTAGCCAACTTCGGAAGTTACAATGATGATGCTCATGTTACGAACTACGATGATGACGATGACGACTATCACTGGCGAAGACGAATATTATTGCGAAGGATTTGAAAGAAATTGAAAGGAAGAATACTAGTTTGTTTGTTTTGTTTTTTTGTTTTTGTTTTTGTTTTTTTTTTTTTTCCATGAAGATAGACGGAGGTGTGTAAATTATAAATTAGTCCCTCATTTAAAAAAAAATGAATTAATTAATCTTTTTAATTTGAAAAATTAATTATTTAGTCTTTTTAATTATTATTGATTATGATTAATTTAATATTTTTTAATTTTATAAAATATTAATTTTTTCATTAATTAATTATTTGTCTGTTGCTCTTAAAATAAAATATCTGTATACTAAATAAATATTAAAATTCATATATTCTATTGAAAAAAAAAAAAGGTTTGAAGGGAGTGTATTTATATTTCAATTATCCCTTAAGGAAAACGTGGTGGGTTTTGTAGCTAATGAGATAATGATTTAAAACTCTAGCTTTCTTTCGTCGTTTTTTATACTAGCATGCATTGTTTATTTTATCCAAATCTCTTAGCTAGATTTTGGTTGTATTATTTGATAAGCTTTAAATATTTATTTTTTAAATTTATTTTTTATAATTTATCTAGATTTTCGTGCTGCCACACAAGATACATTTGTTTTTTTTTTTTTGACTTGATAATTTCAAAATTAGAGTAAATTATAAATTAGTTCATCTCGTTTCAAGAAATGAATAATTAGTCTCTCCGATTTCAAAAAATATTTATTTAGTCCTTTTAATAAGTGTAGACCACGGGTAATTTAAATTTTTTTATTTTATAAAATTTCTTCTTTTTTGATCAATATTTCAATATTTTATTTATTTTTATTACTTTTTTATTTTTTTAAAAAATCAAAATAATTTGAAAAATAGTAAAAATACTAAATAATTAGTTTTTCAAACTAGAAGAAATAACTAATTCATTTCTCAAAGCGAGAGAGACTAATTTATAATTTAGTCATAATTAATAACAAATTAGTATTAAAAAATTAATTACATAATTATTATCATTATTAAACACAAAATCTTATAATGAAGATAATTATACTAGTTTGTTAACTAGTTGGAATCTAATTAATAAAAAAAAAAAAACTAGAAAAATAGCTATATGTGTGTGTACTAGTTTTTTTTTTTTTTTAGTTTATAATATCAAAATTATTAATAAATTAGTATTAAAAATCAAAATTAATTATATAAGTATTATTATTAAAATCAAAATCATTTAATAAAGATAATTATATTAATTTGCTTTGCACATGCATTATTTAACAAATTTATGGTATTTTAAAAAAAATTTATTAGATTGTTTTAAGTTATTAAAAAAAGAACAAAATTGGATGTTTATTAAATATAAAATTGTTTGATTTTCAAATAATTTTACAAATTTTGATATATATATCTTGTAAAATGGGACTTGTTGGCTTACGTTTTGGATAACTAGAAAATACTAACTCAATTTATTATCCGCAATTGATCTTCCTTGAATCAAAAGATATAGAGATTCATATTAAGAATGTATTTGTAATATATTTCTTATTGTATATACTAGAAGAGTAGAGTACAAATTGTTGTAATGGAATTGAGTAGCAGAAGAGCATAGTCTTTGATTCTATGTGTATAAATAGCTACCGTTCCGTAGTAACGGTAATAAAGCAAGTACAAACAAATTTTCAATTTCTTCTCTTTCTTATTCTCTCAACATGGTATCAAAGTCGGGATATCAAATTCAATTTCTTTTCTTCAATAAACACAAACAAAATTAGGTTTTTCTTTTTTGATTGTTGCATATTCTTGCATCCGATTCACGACTTAGCTTTATTTTTAAAGAAATTTGATTTTCAATTTCATGGTGCATCAAGTTGATCCTTTAAGCTTTCAACGAGCTATTCAAGAGATATCAATAATCCAATGTATATTTATCCTTCAAATATGTCGAAACCGGTTCTTATTTCTCATTTACTTAGAGGAGAAGAAGATTATAACTCATGGAGCAAAGTGATGATGATCTCCTTGGAAGCAAAAAACAAAGACGGATTTGTCACTAGACGGTGCTTGAAACCATATCCAAATTTGTCCGACTATACACGATGGAAGAAATGTAATGCCTTAGTTCATGTTTGATCGTTGAATTTAGTGTCTACATAGTTGTTTAATGATTTGGTATATCATCAATCGAGTTAAGGAGGTTTGGAAAGATCTTAAGGAAAGCTTTGATAAGCAACATGGAGCTAAGATATTTGCTCTACATAAAGAAATTCACTCTTTAATTTAAGGTATAGATAGTGTAGTAGTGTATTACTTGAAATTAAGAGTAAAGAAATGTAATGCCTTAGTTCATGTTTGACTATTGAATTTAGTGTCTACATAGTTGTTTAATGATTTGGTATATCATCAATCAGTTAAGGAGGTTTGGAAAGATTTTAAGGAAAGCTTTGATAAGCAACATGGAGCTAAGATATTTGCTCTACATAAAGAAATTCACTCTTTAATTTAAGGTATAGATAGTGTAGTAGTGTATTACTCGAAATTAAGAAATCATGGGATTAATATGATTCAATGATTCCTAAACTTACCTATGTTTATCTAAGTTGTAAAAGTGAAGTTTCACAACCATTTATTGAATACACACAACAATAAAAAATGATGCGAGTTCTTGATGGGATTGAATGAGCATTTCCAACCCGTGAGATTGCAAATTCTCTTAATGAATCCCCAGACCTACTCATTCACAAGCATACTCCATGGTGTTAAATGAAAAATCACAAGTGAGGAATTTACACACATCGGGAAGTACTCGCGCTCTCTATTCCGCCAAATCTCAATATCAAATGAAGCATTCTTCTAATAAGGCTAATTGACATAGAGATATTATTTGTGATTATTGTCATATTTTTTTTATCACAACAAAGATTTTTGCTACAAGTTGCATGGATATCCAAGGCTAATTGATGCTTTTGATGAATGGATAGTTGATATAGGTGCCAATCTCCACATGACTAAAAAATTTAATCTTATGAATAATCCTAAGAAGTTAACATCTAGCTTCATTATTTAATTACCTAATGGTAGTAAAAACTTAGTTACTCATATAGGTTCAGTAAATCTACCACAAATAAGTCTTCATGATGTCCTGTACTTACCAATTTTCAAATTCAATATGTTATCGGTAGTTCGTTTCACTACCGATAAAACAATTGTTTAGCCTCATTTTACCTTGATTTTTGTTTTTTTTAGGACTCAAGATTGGAAAGATAAAGGGGATTGGTAAACTTAGAGATGGTCTCTATCATGTCTTACCACATACTTTAATTCGATCATTGCAAAACCTATTTCTTTTTATATGTTTCTTAATGTTCATTCTAATTTTTTGTAATAAAACTGCTATTAACCAATAGTTTATTAAAGATGATGTAGTACTCTAACATCAAAGGTTTGGACATGTATCACTTTTTAGACTTCATATGATACCTAAATTCAAATTCTCATTGGCCAATTATTATTTGTTGTGTGATGTTTATCCTCTTGCCAAACAAACCAAAATGCCTTTTCCATAAAGGACTTCTTCTACTCGATTCCATATTTGAGCTTCTTCATTTAGACATATAAAGACCTTATAAACATGCTACTTATAATCAAGAGAGATATTTCCTCTCTATATAGATGATTTTTCTAGACGGACATGGATATTTCTCATAAAGAACAAGTCTCAAACACTTCGGTTGATCATTGATTTCTATGCTCTTGTTCAAACATAATTTTCTTATTCTATTAAAAGGGTTAGAATTGATAGGGATTCGAGTTTTTTTAAACGACTCTATCAATAGTTCTTTTCTTCCAAGGAAGTATCCATGAAGCTACTATTTTCTTATACTCTTGAGTAAAATGGTGTAGTAGAGAGAAAACATAGACATATCCTTAATGTTCCTAGAGCAATTATGTTTCAATCAAAAGTACTTATTAAATTTTAGGAGGATTGTGTCTTAATATCTACATACATTATCAATAGAACTCCAACACAACTTTTGTATGGACAAATTGCTTTTGACATATTATTTTATAAACCTCTAACATTTAAGCATCACAAAATGTTTGGATGTTTATGCTATGCCAAAGTACTACTTTATCTTGACAAGTTTGTCCTAGGTTTAAACCTTGTCTTTTTTTGGGATATCCTTATTCACAAAAAGGGATATAAAGTCATGGACGTAATAACTCATATTTTTTTTGTTTCTAAAGATTTTAAGTTCCATAAATCTGTTTTTCTTACTTCATTTTCCTTATCGCATCTCATGATACTACTCGTTTCGTTTTTGTTTCTCCTACTTATCACTAGCTATATGATGATGAGACTCCTTCTAATGACACTATTGTTTCTTCTTATACATTGTCTTCTAGTCATATTTCTCCCGTCTCTTCGATTTTGTTTCTCCTTTACTGTAACTCTACACCATCTTCTTCCGGTAATCCTATTTTTCATGTTCCTTCTATTATGTATGATTTGATTCCTCTTAGGAGATCTTCTAGAGTATATAAGATACCTTTTTGGTTGATTACTCTTATCCTATATTGTCTAAATCCAATTGCATTCAACTCGCCTTTTAGTAACTATTTTATATCCAATTACATTTCTTATTATTCTCGTCTCATCATCACATATAACTTTTTTAGCCTCTCGTTTCTTCCATTCGAGAACTCGATTCCTATTTAGAAACCATTAAGAATCCTTAGTGGGTTAATACAATGATCAAGGAAATCCAAGCTCTTAAATTGAACAGGACATGGGATTTAGTTCCTTTACCACATGATAAGAAACCTATAAGGTAAAATGGATTTATAAAGTGAAGTATAATTCGATGGCAATGTTGAGAGGTATAAAGTTAGGCTAGTGACTAAAGGCTATATCCAACAAGAAGGCATTGACTATGGAGAAAAATATTCTCTAATAGTGAAAATGGTTAATGTCTAAACAATCATTGCTTTAGCTACTATCCATGATTGGTCCTTGTTCCAAACGGATATGACTAATGCCTTTTTACA